CGTCAGTTGTGCATCGACCCTTGGTAAACCCATATTGTTTTGTCATGAAAGATGGAATTTATGTTAAAGTGTCGTAGCATCTGAGAAAGCATTAGCTTTTCAAACACCTTACTGAGCACTGGTAAAATTGATACCGTCCTATAATTATTGGGATCATTGTCATCGCCAGATTTAAACAACGGAACTACCTTGCTAAGTTTCATTAAATTTGGAAAAACTCCCTGATCTACACTTCTATTAAAAATTAAAGATAAATAAGGCGCTATAGCTTCTATAAAAGACCTACACACCGCAACAGACATTCCCCATAGATCCTCTGTAGACTTAACTTTTATGTCTTTAAACGCCTTTATTACTGATTGCGGGTTCGTGTACTGAAATCGGAAGCCAGAACGGCATTCTTTAACATTTCTTTTAAGAAGACTAATAGAAAAAGCCGGAGATGATTCTAAGTCTCTCGTAGTTTTAATGGAAAAAATTTCGAACTCTTGGGCAACTTCTTGATTTGTATTAACTCGTCCATTATCCGTATTTAAATTAAATTCCGTGTTATACAATTTATTTCTGCCTGTCTCGTTATTAATTACTTTCCACGTAGCTTTTGTTTTATTCTCAGCATTCTTAATCTTATTGCCAATATAAAGTGATTTAGCTTGCTTACAATTTTTTTTAAATATTTTTGAATATTTGGACACATGCTTGCTGAAGGCTTCACTAGTATTAAATGGTTTCATACCGTATAGCTCAAATAACCTTTCCCTACTTTTACGAATACCTGGGGTAGCCCAGTTACAGAATACAAATTTACACTCAATAGTTTTTCTTCTTAAGGGGAATATTTTATCAAACTGGGTTTTAATCACGGACAGTAGATTGTCATAAATCTCACTTGGACCTTCATAATCATGTGATGGGCTGCATATTTTATGTTTCAAATTGTTATTTAATAACTCAACCCTTTTATTTGTGATTTGCCTAAATATTATTTCCTTTTTTTTTACCTTTGTAATGTTGTTAAGGTTTATTGTTAACCCACTGTGGTCTGATGGTAAGGTATTTATTATATTCTTATGTAAATAATTACAGTTACAAAATATATTATCTATACATGTAGCCGAGATGGATGTTACTCGGGTGGGCTCAAGGAAAACATTAGACAAATACTACTCGACAGATTTAAAAAAAACTTGGCACAATTGTTCTTTATACTCCTGGACAGGTTAAAGTTTCCATCGCGCGTGTAGCCTTAATAGTTAAAGTTACACGAAAATTATGTATGACAGAAATATTCTTCATAAAATTATCTAAAAAAAATGTTTTACACCATATACTTCTTTTATGGTTAACTCATAATAGCTCATCGTGTAACTCGTGATAGCTTAGCAGTTCGGATAATAAGCCTACGCGCCGTCGCATGTGAACACTGAATCATGCTATAAGGATTATTTTTAACGCGCACGACGCGACGCGTTCTAAAGTAAAATATAATATAATATTAGGTTTTATGAAATATTTGTAATACTTACTTATTACTTAGATCGGTACCAATCTATCTATGGACGGACGGATAGTGGAGACGTACAACCGGTTTCATAAAGGCCGATCAATAAGTGAAATGGGACATCATGCACTATGAAAGTACACCCAAGGACAATCCCCGGTTGATGGAGAACTATTGTAAAATGTGGTAAAAGTTGGTTGCTATGCACTAGTGGATGAAAATTATGGAAATATTATGGCCTCTGCCCCTGACCAATATTGATACATACGGATAAACAGGCAGGCGGTGATTGGCAATCTCAATTAATGGGCCCCCGGAAACGGCCGCTAGCATGTAGTGACAAGGGGCTGTGAGCTGCTTGGGGAAGGAGAGGCATCCCACGGCTATCAGAGCAATCCCGGAAGTACGGTCAAGACCTCTACCAGCATCTTACTGAGATACATGCTTCCCCCGAGTCTCCTTCAACTCCTACTCTTGCGAATCTCCACTCAAGCCAGCCAATTAAGGCAAGAATGAGGTAGGAGGGCTTGTTCTTTATGTTCACTCCAGCTAGTTACGAGGACTAACCGGTGGGTCGCCAGTGCCCAACAGCTCGCCACAAGCTGCCTTGCGGATTTATTATTATTAAAGGTGCCTATTGTGGTTTAATTGAAATAAATTATTTTGACTTTGACTTTGGCAGACGACGTGGAGGACGACGCGGACGCCCTGCCGCAGGCGCTGGAGCAGCTGGTGGAGGCGGCGCGCGGCGCGCTGTCGGCGCGCTGCGTGGACGCGCTGCTGCAGGCCGCGCTCTCCGAGCTGGCCGCGCGCGCCGAGGCCGCCGTGCTGGCCGCGCGCTACGACCGCGCCGCCGCACTGCGCGTGGAGCGCCGCGCGCGCCGCCTGGCGGGCTGGGCGGGCGCTGCGGCGGCCGCGCGCGAGCGCTGCGCGCGCCTCACGCAGGCGGCGGCGCTGCTGGCCCTGGACGCGCCGGCACACGCGCGCGACGCGCTGGGCGCCGCGCCGCGCCTGCCCGCCAACCGCGCCAAGGAAATACTCGCGCGCAGGTACCTCGCGCACTGCTCGTCTCTAAATAAATACTTCATTTTAATGTAGCAAAACACTAAATCCATTTCAAATGAATCATTATTTCTACTCTATTTTTTTTTATTAAAATCTTACAAGTAGTATTTACCACACAAATCCAGTATGAAACACTGCATGCATTATTATATATTTATACTAGCGATCCGTCCCTGCTTCGCACGAGTGCAATAGGTACTGATACTTAATTTCTAATAGCATCACCAACCATCAAGTAATAAAAAAATCTAATGAAAAATGTTTTGTTGCAGAATCGACTTCAAAATGGAAGACATCAAGCGTCTGAAGCTATAATATATATTGTTGAGATATCCGAATATCTGTTAAACTATAATATATTACGTGCATTTAAAATAAATATATTTACAATTATGTTACATTTCTTGTTTTATTCAAACATATTTTTATTAAAAAATTCAAATGACTTCTCTCTCCAGTGTGAAGCGACAAGGCCAGACTCTTACTGACCAAATCCCACTCCCCCCCCGTTCCTTCTCCTACTTCACTAATTCCTTTGTAATTTAGATCAAGGAAAAATTTACTGGTAGATTTATACCTACGAAATATTATGTGCGGGTTTTTTGAAAGACAACTTGTATTCTTATCGTTAAATACAACTTCCTATGGATAACACAATTGATAGTAAATAAAACATTGGTATTTATTGATACACTGATTAAAAACACTATCTCCTGTTCAAAATGGTTCTAACGTTTTTTAGATTTCGAACATCGCCACTCTACTATGTCTTTTCCAGTGTAGTGGGTGCATAAGTAAATATTCCATTTCATATACATATTGCACCTAATCCAGGAACAATGGAATAATAACAAATAGTATTTATATGTAATCTCACTCGTCAGCTTACAACAGAAAAAGGCTAATTGAAAAACACAATTTTAACCGGTTATTTTTCTGAGAGGCAGAAATCATATACCTTCTCCCACCGTTTTCTTGTGGGGGGTAAATCATCAAATTTCTTCTTTCGCCTAGGATATGATGAGAGTGAGTGCCAGACTGATTAAAAACCACCCCATTCGTACTCCTGCTGCGAGTCGGTACCGCGCGACATTATTGCCCCTTATTCATAACCCTGGCTGCTCATATTACCCGTACCGTAAAACGGGGTGAATAGAATTCGAGGGGTAAATAGACACGGAAGAGGGGTGAATAGATACAAGGAAAATTCGCCAACATCTATTCACCCCTTTCTTGTATCTATTCACCCCGTTTTACCGTTAGTGTCTTCCTTAAATTCTGTTTACAATAAAACAACAACATATAATTAACACATTTAATCTTGAAATACATTTAGTAACAGTTTTAATACAAAGCATTGATTGATAAAAATAAATATATATAATTATATCTGTTTAGAAACTATAAAATATTGTGCATAACAAAATATTCAAGTGATCAACATATTTATCAGATATTATAAACTATGTCAATAATATTTATCGTACAGTTATTAATAGGGATGGTGGCTACCTTACTAATTATGCCTGTTTGAATTTAAAACATTAACACTTATTCTTTGTTTTACAGAATCAAAAACTCGATTTGTAAAATTATGTGACGTCACGATTTAGTACATTTATAAACTGAGCAGTGAAGCAGCGACCTTCTACTTAAATTCATTTTTATTTAAGCATTGTTTACTTATACGACAAAACAGAAAATACAATAGAATTCTTTTTTTTTCAATTAACTAATGTACCTATATTATGCCATGTCACCATCCCTATTAATTTGAATTAATTTATATTAATCAGAAAAATATGTGTTCTCTTATAATATAATAATACATTATGAATACCTGTCACTTGTCTTGTATATAAATTGATTTGCAATATATGATATGTTAAAAGTATTTACAAAATACATGAGGTTTTCTTAAGGCACCATTATTGTTCGGGAAATCTTAATATTAAAACTTAATATATAAAAGCAATTAATTGAATATGATTGTTGTATTTCAATAAGCTATAACCCATTTTCAAAAATATAAACGTTTGTAGGTATTGGAAACATATACAGGTGTCCAAAGAATCAATGTGAAGCTGGAAATAAGCAATAGTCAGCAGTCGTGGCATCTATCATAAAAAAGGCTTGGCCAGTCTTTTTATGATCGCTATCATGACTTGCCATTGGTTTTTGGGACATCTGTGTGTAAGTAAAATATGGCAGCAATAGGTACTTAGAAATAATATTTATTTATAGATAAATAAACGTACATAACTCTGTTAGTCATGGTTATTTTCAGACGAAACGAATAACTAGAATAACATGTCATTATTTATTATTAGAATAAAAAAACTGCCCTTTATTAACAATTCTTTAAAATAGTAAATTTAAAACTATAAACTTTACACTCTCGAGAACAATCATTAAACTGAATAAAATCTTTTAAAAACTTCTAAATATATATATCGACCCGGTATTATCCATTCGTTGTAAATAACTTGAAAAAATATTAAAATTCTAGTTTAAACTGGATATTTATAATAAAAGTTAAAAGCTTTATCATTATATTAAATTGCGATTGAAATGTACACTTAATTAAGTCTATAGTAAAAATGTAAAGTTCATTTATAAATTCATAGTTAAAACTTAAAATTAGTAAATATGTATCAACAAAGAAGGTAGTATACATATGTACCTGTCGAAACATTAATTAGTCAGGTGGTTAATAAGAACTTAACAACTAAAATAACGTAAAACGTAACATTAGTATTTAAAACTTTACACAGAATATATTGAATATATGATAATTTATTAAAACTGCTTTGTTTTGTAATGGCGTACCTAAAAATGTACCATAATAATTTAAGAAAATCCATTTCATATTGGAAAAATTAGACGACTAGTTGAATTCAGTAGGAAAGTATAAGTTTTAAATGCAAGAAACAAAATATCTAGTTCCTATGTTTACACAATCATGACGTCATACTTGACATTACTGTCAAAATAAGACTTGTCGCAAAGCACATAATTAGGTACGCCATTTTGTTAAAAAATACAATTCAACAACTTTAAATTAAATACTGTCAGAAGTGACTTGAAAATAATTCGCGCGTGTCGTCACAAAATACTGAACTGAAAATTTGTTACTAAGGTAAGGCAGTGCATTTGTGTAATCGATGCATGTTTATGCAAATAGAATACTTATGAACACAAGGCACAGTGTATAAGGCTCATCGTAAAGTTATTTCTGCGAGTTTAAAAATATATTACATATTTACTTAATATTAATATACTAATATAGTTTTTTTTTTCAGTTAAATAATAGTAAATAATTATAATTTGTCCGTGTCATATAATGCTTATAGATGAATAAATTCAAGTAAATACATAAAATTTTCAAAATATGTCATGCTTACATTTTCAGATCACCTTTTGAGCCATCACACCCTGTATATAGGTACTTATTCTTTGGTTATTAACGCTCCAATTTTAATTATTTTAATACAAATCAATAATAAATAGGAGTACATAGCACATAGTGATCATTCATTAATATTTTTAAAACAATTAGAAATGGTGGTCATAAAGTTATTTGATATAGCTTCCTTATCTGACGACATAAGTGCGATAGTAATTGTAAAATTAAAAAATACTGAAATACTTTTGATTTTAAGTACATGGTTTTGTTCTGGCTTAATCTAATTAATACAGCTGACATAGAGACCAGATAACGCTATACATTGTGACCACATATAACGAATGCCTTAATTTCATCTTAAAATGTGAGACTTTTTTCGCTGGCAACAAACAATTCGTAATGGCAATGTGTATACGTTTCTTGCTCGATATTATTTACAGGTTACGTCGCAACACTAAGCTGCTAACAGTGCATTACAGTGCCAATTAAATGTCTATAAATGGTCGTGATCTTGCAAGAAACTTTTCTAAAGTGTATATGTGAGCAATTTATAGAACTCTAATCATTAAGTTCAGAAGTAATTTAGACACATGAGCATGTTTACATTTCCCTCTTTACTTGCAGACTAGTACATTAACAGCCTCATTAGTAGCCAACCCGCGGTGGGGGTGACTCTACGGTGGAGGTCTGTTTGGAGACGACACGGGAGCCCTGAGCCAGGCCACCGTCACGCACCGCCTTAAACTTCAGATAAGCGTCCACCAAATACGCCAACATCGCCACGAAGCCAAAGAACTGAAAATATTTATCCTCATTATACCACATATTCTTAAAGGAAGACTACGACCAGCCGACTACTAGTTGAAACTAAATAACAAAATATAGTGGGTTACTTACCGCAGCGGCGGAATGAGGATTGTCGTGAACAGTTGTGGCTAGAATAGATACAATCAGGTACATGAGGGTCCATATTGCGCAGAACAGGAACTCAATCTTCAGCCAAGGGATCTTGTAGAACTTCTCGAGTATATGGAAGAGGTACAGGCCAAGTAAGATCCCCGTGAACCAGAATGCAATCATAGAGATCCAGCTGAAGAAGGAACCTTTAGTCCAGCTGCTGAGGCGGGAGCACTGGATGCATATGAACCCGAGGAGACTGCATAACTGGAATGTAATTATGAAGTCAATATAAATAAAACACCTTCTAAATTACTGAGTATTTGACTGAGAGAAACATGCACACCTGGTACTACATTCATCATACATTTTCCTTTCAATACTTTTTTAAGAGTAATACGATCAACAAAGATATTTCCGAAATTCTCACCATTATATTTTCATAATATGACGTAATTTTTGTCAGAATATTACCCAGTTAGTAGGTACAATCGAACAGGTTTCGTTGTAAAATGTATATTCGTAGATACCTAAAGCTTTAGGTAAGTAATTGATAATTAACAGCGAACCATGACATGACGTCTTGAAAAAAAAACATTTTTAATACCAGCACAAATTATCGTATCAATGAAAGATAACTTTTGCAATGTTTGGAAATGGCTACACAATATCCGGCCACGATGTACGGACACGATACACCGGTAAGTAAATTCTTTACTCATATGACGTGACTAGGTAAGGGGAACTATAAGGCTATGAATAGGTAGAAACTTCAAAAGGAAGTTTATCGGACAGTCACGAATATTTTTGTAGGTACGTATAAATCCATAGAATAATAAGAATCATTACAAGCACAGCCAGTGACTATTATACATATTATTCTCTTACTTATAACTGTTAGTAGCATTATAACACTATAAACTTTTATTTGATCACTTTAATACCTACTGTAAGTTATCGGGCTAACTTAATTACATTAGGTAGGTATACATATAATGTTTGCATTCACTTTTTGTATTTTCGATAACGTTTAGATTCAGTAATATTTAGCTGAGTATTCGTTATTGCGATTGCGATAATTGTTCCGGATTAAAAAAGGAACTGGAATAGGAAAAATCCATAATAATACGAATGAGTTTCTTTGAACTAGGTACTAGTTTGAATCGCGGTTTGTCCAATAGGAGCCAAGTAGCGGATGAAACCGCAACTTGGACAATCTGTTACAACAAATAGCTGATTTCCAGTCTAGGACATTTAATGGACTCTCTGGGACACTCAGGGAAATAACATAACTTAGTTCTTATTATAAAATAGAAGGTCGCGTCACAGTTGACTGAGGCAGCATAAGTAATGCCGATGCCGTCATTTTGCAGTGTTGAGTCACAATGACACGCCGAATCCCTTAGGCCAACGTAGCAGCCAGTCTTTCCCAAATAATGGCCAGAGTCCATCGATGGTGGCATCGAACTACAGCAATAAGCTAGGTAGTTACTTGGTTGCGTTGGAGCATTATCTTTTACAATTAGGTACCTATATCGATAAATTATGGTTATCTATGATTTCGTACATTCTGTATATAGTTTGTCATACGCCCCGAGATTTTTATAAGTGAGAAGCAGGTTGCGTTTTGGTAATGGCATTTTGCTGTTAAGAGGATTCATGTCCGCTAAATTGGAGGACTCCCTTTTTCTCTTTTTTTTAAATTAAATACTATTTAGTAAAGTATGTATATTAAGAGAGCCATGCTTCGATTGCATCTATTTTTACGACCTCACACAAAAAAGGCGTGAAACGTTGCGGTGTGAGGTTACCCGTTTACCATAAGATTAATCGTCTCCCAATCCCCAAGCCTAGGAAATCCCGGTAAAATACTCATTGGTGTTGGGCTCCAAAGCGGGCTTTTGTGGGCGGCGTCGATTTGTTACCATCCATCAGGTGACCCGTCTGGTCGTTTGCCGAACTAACTTAGGTATGTAAAAGTTGTGACTGAAGTGGAGAGCAAATAAGGTTTGAGAAACGCTTGTTTTTATATGATATAGCGTAACCTAACTCGCCTGTTACCCTACGGGACGGGGCGTGAGCGTTTAATTAGCGATATTATTATAATTCGTTACGTCGGTACCTACAGTTGTATAGCATACTGAGTGGCTAATATACACGCTAGCGGCTGCGATACGATCACATCGATAACACGACGGACGCGGCGCGGAATTACATTGAAAAACTTGACCTTTTACCGCTTTACCTCAAACATAAGTCAGGTGGTTTAACAGAACAATGCCCACGTTTGCTAGTCTTATCGATTAGCTCACTGTGCGAAAATGTACAAGGCTTACTCCGTTTTATTATGTATTGTATTGTATTGTATAGTCTATGCCATGCCACTCTAGAGGTTTTATTAAAACTCAAAGCAGAAATACGCAAAAGCAAGTTAGTTTTTTCTTCATCACCAAAAAATGTTTTTCCTAATATAAATATAAAAACTTAAACTTACATGAGTCGTGTTTAAAATGGATACGAATTTATACCTAATCAGTTAAAAGAGGAAGAGGAAAAATAAGTTACCTATAACTACCGCCGGTATCCGCTCCCGATTTCAATACCAGGGTCAATCAAAATATTATTGGGTTTTTCGATTCCGAATATTTCCTATGAGTTCACAATAACTTCAAGTGCAAATTGAATGATTTCTCGAGCGAGCAAACTGCACATCGCATCTCACAGCCTCTCTCATCGCATCGAATGGAAGCCTTGGCGACCTTCCGGGGTTAGGTATTTGAGGACTAGGGGAATTGGGAGAGTGGGGATGGGGATGGAAAGGAGAATTGTTTAAGTGTGGGAGAGCCATGCTTCGGCACGAATGGGTCGGCTCGACCGGAGTGATACCACGGCCTCACAGAAAACCGGCGTAAAATAACCACTGCGTTGTGTTTCGCCGTGTGAGTGAGGTTACCGGAGGCCCAATCCTTCCCCTTCCCCAATCCCTCCTCAATCCCTAAATCTCCAAATCCCTAATCCCTAAAAGGTCGACAACGCACTCGTAACTCCTTCTTTGTTGCGGGTGTCCATGGGCGACGCCGATTGCTCACCATCAGGTAATCCGTCTGCTCGTTTGCCGTCTTATCACATAAAAAAAAAAAAAAAAAAATTGTGCCTTCAGTAGCCTCACTCGCACAGCGAAATAACGCAATGTCGACATTCTGTTTGAACCGGCCCATTCGTGCCGATTCATGGCTCTCTCATTTATGGCTATCGTCTATGCATATCTTGATTTAATACTCACAACTTGAACTATCTTCAATATGCCCGGTATGGTTGTAAGATACGAGCGGTCAAACCGTATGTTAGTCTGGACTGTGGTGCTGGACGTCACTGTCGTCGTCGTCGTGTGCTGACCGGGGAAACCTCCTTCAACCATGATTGATTACCTAGAAATGACAGAGTTACAGAGCTGTTTTTTCTTATAAAAAAAATCAGATTTCATCAATCATGCAATAACCAGTATAATAATTATTTTATAAAAAAATCCCCACTATTATCATAACAATTTTAACAGACAAAAAGATAAATGTGTTAAAAAATGAATGTAGATAATATGCTGTTAGTCACTAACCACATATTGCTTGATAACACAGAGTATCAATAACAGTGGCTTGACAAACAAACAAAAAATATTGAAAACATTTAACAAATGGTTTTCTAAATCAAGGAATGGATTTGGATAACGGATGGCCAGGTATATACATATCCAGATATTCAGTTAAGTTAATAAAGAAATTTTAATGATAAGCTTTATGATCAACCGATACTATCTAGTTATTTAGTGTGAATTACCTATTATCAAAATGTTTTGCAGTTTTATCATTTATGAAATCACTGACTGATTACAGCACACATTGACTAACATCGATTATTGTGGCCATTGTTTTTAATTTCACAAATGGATAAAATTACCTAGCTTATAAATACCAGAAATAACAATTTATAACTGTGAGATAAAACACATTTTGTTTTAATAAATTGCACCTTTTTGAGTACTATAGCAGAGATCTAGTCTATAGGAACTATTAACTATCTATGCACTTCACATAAGGGTATGAAAGTATGGTTTACTTCAAGTTAATATTGAAAAGAGAAAGTTGTTTACATATAACGTGTACTCAGTTTACAATGAAAATGTAAAATTGTGTACAAATAAAATGTGTTGTAATTAATATTTACACTTTGGTTAGATCTGTAATCAATAGTGAACTGGTAAAATACTTTTACCACTTTTTACACGATAGAGGTAATATTACAAATATTTCAGTATTGGCGAGCTTTTCAAACAAAGTTGTTACACACACGCGTTTATCTGGCGTAATCTTTACAGTCATATTAGCAGCGGGCGATGGCGAAAACAATATAGTAATCCAATCTTTTGATACAGCAATATAGCATTTCATAAAATTTGTGGGTGCGTGGTTCCCCAATCCAGTAAAATTATCATGTACTCTAACAATTTTACTACGGAACACGTTATAACACAGAAACACACGCCTGTCATCATCCAAAATAGCGATTATCGGGCAACATAGAACAGAAATAAACACAAAATTAACACAAGATTTTTTATAAATACTGAAATGCCATTTCTATAAATAATTAATTACCTTGACTTTAATGCCTATTTTAACACACACTCACTTTTTGTTGAAACACTTCACTCATACCCTGATAAGGTATTAAAATATTAAGTATAAATTAATATTAGGTGATAACCGAATATGACCAACCAAACTATGAAACCAATTTGAAATTACGAAACGCGACAAGCGTAAATGTCAGACAAGCAGTCACTCACACTCAATAACCCAAGTTAGAATAATTATATTATTGTTTAGATTAGCATTTAAAAAAGCAAGATAGCCAACAAAGTTCACTGATTAAAATAAGCTAGAAGATATAATTTTATGATAAAGATTGTATAAACTAATACACGCTATACTGAAACGCACAGTCCTACGTCAGCTGTCATGTAACATGACAGATCGATCGAATACCATATTATTATTTTTGTATCAGCTGCCATTAAAGAAAGAAAAAAAATATATATTTTTGTATTTAAAATTATTATAAACACCAACATACATAGTTTGATTACACATTTACAGAAAAAATTGTTTCAATTAAAAACCTGTTTCATCTTGCGTTTACAAAGCAAAAATCTATTAATTGGCTTGAAAATGTTTAAATGTTTTGAACAGTTTTGAAAAGACATTAGGTACCGTTCTCATTTACAATGACACTGATGACACAAGTCAAATCTAGGAGCTCTCGTGTGCTGCGTTAGTGAGGCCAAGTGAGGAACTGATTAACGGAATCGAGTGTAGTAATCGATTTTGACAAATACAACCTTTAAAAATTTTAAAAAGGGTTTTAATGCGCCTGCTTATATCATGTATAATAAATAATAAGAAGTTTCTTGATAAAAAAAAAAATATATATTGCTTGATAGTGTAGGAATATTTTATAATACCTAAAATAAATAAATAAATAGGAACGATATCGTTCATGATAATAATGATATAGACGATGCTTATGATTACGTGACATTGTAAAGATATAATTTTAAGAACACCTGTTTATACGTATTATGATTGGTTTGCCTTAAATCTTGAAAAGAAATTATCATTTCACCTAGTTGGTTTATAACTTCAAATTTTAAGACTAACCATTGGCTTATTTTCTTTAATGAAGCCATTTGGAATGCCACAATAACGATGGTTGAGGATCAGATTGATACTTTAATTGTAATAATAAATTCATTATATCATTACCTAATGCAAGAATTAAATCGAGTTTGATTATTCAATTCAAAGATTAATTAGATAATGAAAATGTACGCACGACACTAGTTCACTGTTAACAAGAACAACAGTAAATCTTGTCAGATTATTTTTACGGTTTACAGTTTATTTATTGTGTATTAAATCTCAAATAAAACATAATATTATTTCACTGTCAACAATCTCTTGTATTTTGTAATATCTTTTTTACAATAGTAATTATACTGTAGTGATAACTTACAACGTCGTTTCGTATGAATAAACAAATAACACCCGCGAAGTTATGTGTTACCGCTGTATGCTTAGATGGTGTTATTTAAAAATATGACTCACTGATGTTTTACACGGCTCGATATCGGTTAGGAATATAGTGTCAAGGCGACGGTGACTAAAGTTACAGAGCATCCTCGGCTGTCGGCTCTCGGTTATCGCGATGTGGGTGTTTCAGTTTACGTGATTCTCTCCGCTGTGCTAGTGTTCTGTGTTGATAATAATCAAGCTCCCTACTGCTCGGCATAGTACATGTGAGTACTGTTTACTTTCTGCGTTTTTTTTTTACGTTTCCAAGTCAGTGATTTCTAAGCCAGTCAGTGTACCTAAGCATTGGTTTATTTACAAAACTTAGTTAAAAATGAATATTGATTTAATAACTATATTCATTTGAAAAGGACCATGCTTCAAGTCTAAAGACAATGCAATTATATTCTACCAAATTAATGAGTGTTTCTCAGCAACTGTCACTTATTGTTTTTAATTAAAAATCAATACTTTATTTAATAATGGCTTACATAATGTCTTAAAATAAATATAAATTCAAGGTTTTTAGTTGATTGTTTATCTGAAGTGTCTTAGCAAACATGAAAGTCTAAAATCTTATCATTTACATTTAAGATGAAGGAAAAATAAAATAAAAATACAGTCAGTCAATTTATATTATTTTGCAGTTTAGAAAAACAATTATTTAATAGGCACATTTTTAACAAAAATAAAATAAGCATGTGCAGCAAAAAGTTTTCAACCTGTCTATTCTTACAATAGATTGTTTATTAATTCATTCATCTATAATGAGTTTTTTTCACATGTACGCTTTTAACAGAGTATGCTTCTAGTTATACAACTACTGACAACACAGCTAACAAACATATTATACATAACATGGTAACATACTGGTCCTGACAATACTGGTTTCAGAATAACATTAAGAAAAGAAATATTACTTAATATGTATGACTAATATATTAGTATTAGAATACCATAAGGTAAACATTATATTTAAGAAGCAGTCATTCATTTTTATGATTCACTTATTTTTGTAATGTTGTAAAAGAGTTTTAATATAGTAATTTGTTAATTGGATTTCCTGCTGCGTAAGATGTGCCGCTTCAAGTGGCGCTACTCCGGATGCCTAGGTGATTAATGAGAACCTCGAGGTCAAATTGATTGATCCGTGTAATTGGAATGTAATTGGCGGTAAGTGTGTGATAACTGTGCTAATAGTCTTAGGGAGTCTAGTCAGAGGTCAAGTTCAGTGGAACTTATTGGAAGTAGCTGTTAGTACGAAGTACCTGGGTTATTGTGCTTTGTTGTATACTGTGATAGGATCTTTTATTAATTTAGCCACACCAAACTAGACTTTAAAATTCCTACTTATTGACATCTTAAAAACTCAAATAAGATCCAGCTTTTTGTGAGGCCTTGGTATCACTCTGGTTTAGCCATTTCTGCCAAAATATGACACTCTCCCTCTTACTTGAATTACCTCCTCCCAGCTGTTATATTAAGATTTGGAGTTCTAACTTATCACGACGGGTTTAGGTATTCTCAATAGGAATAGGAACTTAGTTTTACGTTTGTTTCAGTTGAGTGTGTATCATGGCGTATCCTAACCAGCTGCCTCCACCACCGCCCCAAACCATGGGGTCCACAAACACTGTATTCATCACGGAGTTGCGATTCGACCCCTCGTATCTGAAGACTTTACCAGGGATACTTAAAGCTGTTGTTGTGGTAGGTAATGATAAAACCTTTCCTCACATATTTTCCTTTCTGAAGTCGTAGGTAGAAAAATGTAATTAGATTTAATTAAGCAACTGCTTGAAAACATGACTGGCGAATAGTTATGTATTGAATCCCTTAGACAAGCAAGCGTCACGGGATTAAACAAGTACCTATAACAAAAAACCCACAATTACGCTTTGCCCGATCAAGCAACAGAACTCGAGACTCCACATTTTTTAAAGCAAGTGCGACATTTTTAAGAATCTGAGCTCACCGACTCAAACCAAACACGCACAAAAATAAATTTAAGAGTTTCAATGTATATGAGTCAGTGTAATCTCATTTAGTTCCGCTAAGCAATTGTGCAATTTGTAATGTGTTTTCATCATACGAAGGTTTTAATTAAGTAAACACAATACCTACATGATGGGCACCGTACGAAACAAATATTTGTAAATGCTTGCTTGGTGAAGTAAACGGTCGTTAAGTTACGTCAATCGGTCATTATTTACACATTACCTACTAAGAGTTTACTTATTCAGACTTATCACACGTGTAAATATTTAAACGATAACGTGTCACTTTGCCACACAGGATAAGGCACAGGTAAAAACTAAGATTTTCATATCGCCTTGTGTTATTTTTGTACAAATGCCAATGTACTACTTACATTGTTTATTTGGGTTACTGGATGGTAAACAAGACCCAAACTTCTGTATTGGCCCTGTGCCCCATTTAACGGTGATACTTCTCAACTATTCTCAAGTACCTACTCGAGATTACATAGTTCCCTTGTCCTCATAACCCTTGACCTTGGGGCGAGCAAATTGACGCGGAAATAGATTTAACGTACCAATCCAGACGATCAGTGGCTCTAGAACTCTATTTGTAAGATTTAAACTGTTCAAACGCAAGAAACCAACGTTGGTCCTCATTATTTAATATTCTTCAATAAAAAAATGTCCACCATAAAAATTACTAGTTATCCTTGAAATCAGGAATACTCTAAAGATTTATTGGTAGGTACTTGAATTCTCTAGACATATGTTGTATAATGCAACTGCGTTGTTCTTGTAGTGAATAATTAGCGGACAGGTTTAAGATTCAGCTGCTATGGCCCCTATTAAAATTCCAAGCGATTCCGCCAGGTGGGTTTCCCGTTTGTGCAGACCTCGGAAGAATCAACGAAACAGTTTCTTACATTCATTATGAATACAGTAATTTTTAAATACCGTTTTGTTCAAAAACCATTTTATTTGGCAGTTGTTCAACTTGATCGGATTCATCTGCATCCAGTCATCCGCATTCTGGTCAAATGGTCGTGGAGTGTACTTCAATATAGTAGCCCACCTGGGCCTCTGGTTCTCCGGCATCCTGCTGGGGCTGTACCTGTTCCACGTGGTGGAGAAGTACCACAACATCAAGTGGCTGAAAATTGAGATGATTGCCTATATCGTGATGGTGTTCCTGTACCTGATTGCGTCCACTATTGTCGTGGCGTTTGGAGCGGCTGCGTACTCCGCTGCTGGGGTGAGTTAACTCATTCTGTAGTCCAGTAATGTGTTTTAATTTGGAGGTCAGCGATCATCATTACTTATTAAAGTTTTAATGGGAAGGGACGAAATATGTTCGGTAGAGAGAATGCAATTTTTTTTTACAAATTGATGAAGTATTTATTAGTTAAGTACATTAAAACGATAGATACTTCTATGCCCTGTTTAGTGTTTTCTTCTGTTTCAAATGTGGATCATAGTAACAAACAGTTGTTTCTTGTGGGAATCGACCCCGAAATCTCGTATGGCAGTCGGTTGCCCTGTCACAGTAAACTCGTGCAAAATAACAATTCTTACACATGTCGATATTCTAGTCTTATCTGAAATACCTGCGTGGTTTAAGTACTTAGATAAAAACAATACACAGTATGAAATGTGGAAGTGATTCATCTTCTCGCACAATTATCTTAGAGATGTCAGCACTAAGATTGCTTGAAGGTGTATATATCTACAAAAATATACAATTCACTCATACAACTTGAATGTCCGTAACAAAAGTATTCTTGACGTAAGTCATAGAACTCTATATCTATGTATGTTGATACGTTGCTAGTACCAAATTAATATCTTTGCAATGTTGTTATTATGGTAGACTAACAGACAATAGAGATAGTCTCGCCGATGCTATCAGCGAATGGCCACCTGTTGTACACTCTCAAAACAAAAGGAGACCGAAGCTGAGTGGCACACAATGGTTAGCAGTACGTGACCGATTTATTAAATATCTAGGTGTAATATTATGTCGTACTATACGTAGCCAAGTTCGTTTGAGTTCGAATGCCATCTAATAATAATCTAATAATAATTATAATGAGGTAAATCGCGCAGTTTTAATCAATTTATTTTCCTTTTTGTACTCGTAATGCCATAAATAGGTTTTGCTGCTTCCATTGAAAGGTAACAATACTAATAACTAAACAATATTTAATTATAAGTATTGTTTTTTACGGTTATAATGTGATCGAAATTAATAATACTTAATAAATTGAATATAAACCGAATTCATTGGAGATGTTGAAATTGTCGAGAGAGAAAATTAGTCGCATGGAATACGGACGGCGGCTAGCGTTTCGCGCGCACCTCAAAGAGCCAATAGACCACCACAGACGGGCCCCTATATTATAGGGCTGATGTTCAGCTAGGATTGCGGGGCAAGAGTAATGAGGCACCGCGGTCTTGGCATGGTACAGGAGAGGGAACGGGGGCGTTTTAGTCAGTTACAGTCTGAGACTCTCCCTCTCCCCCTCTCTTCCTTCTCTCTACTCTGGGCGAGAGAAGGCATTGGATGATTTTCCTCTCACAAAACAAGTCTGAACAACTTTTTATGGCACCGTACGTATACATATGTATTTATGACCCGTATAATATGTTACCTTTATGGCAAAGAAAACTATCGCACGATCTCCGGGGAGGCGGCGAACCTCCTTGCCGGATCACCGCCGTGGGATCTAGAAGCGAAGGCGCTCGCGCGCGTCTACAGTTTGCGCGCAGACGCGCGTCGCCGGGGCGAAGATCCTCTGCCGCGCCAAATAAGTGCTTGGCGGAATGAGCTCCGGCGAGATCTCATGGCAGAGTGGAGACAACGACTGTCGCAACCGAGGGCCGGGCACGCTACCATAGCAGCGGTAAGACCCCTCTTTGAGGAGTGGCTTGAGAGACGCCACGGCGTCCTCACCTTCCGTCTGACGCAGGTGCTTACCGGGCACGGCAGCTTCGGTAGGTTCCTGTTTCGGATTCAGCGGGAGGAAACGCCCGAGTGTCGTCATTGTGAGGACCACCTAGAGGATACGGTGGAGCATACGGTAGCGGTATGCCCTGCCTGGGCTGAGCACCGCCGTATCCTCAGGGAAGTGATCGGCGGCGGCGACCTCTCGCGCCCGGCCTTAGTCGAGGCCATGGTGCGGAGTGAGAGGAACTGGGACGCCGTCTCCTCCTTTTGTGAAGCAGTCATGCTCGCAAAGAGAGAGGCGGCCCGCGTGAGGGAGCAATCCTCCTCCTCACGCCCCAGCAGCCGCAACTGGCGACACTACGGGCGTCGGGGATCGAGGGACGATCTCCGGCCACCGTAAGCACGGGCCTGCGGTCGGCGAGTAAGGGCAGCTCGCCGCCCGACCAGAACCAGGCCCGAGCGTACGGCGCGTAGCGTTCCGCGCGCGCCTCAAAGAGCCATTCGACCACCACAGACGGGGCCCTAAAGGGCTGATGTTCAGCCGGGGCTGCGGGGTAAGCGCAATGAGGTACCGCGACCTCGGCACAGAGCAGGAGAAGGAACAGGGGGGTTTTTAGTCAGTAAGAGTCTGACACTCCCTCCTGCCCGGCCCTGGGCGGGAGAAGTCATTTGATGATTTTCCCCTCACAAAAAAAAAAAAAAAAAAAAAAAAATGGCAAAGAAAACTTAACAGTGCAATAATGGAGTCATAAACTGACTATAATATTATAAACGTGATCCCTTTGGCTACTTCCACAGCCTGCATCGATAGAATATTAATGAGTAGCAAATGATTCACGTGACATACTAATTTAAGAGATATTTTATTTAATGTGTATCAAATGAATCGCTCCGCATTCTAGACACAGTGATTGGTTCGGTTTCTATGCACTGAATTCCACCGGATCTGAATACCTTTTTATGTGTGTATTGTTATGTAGGTAGGTACTTACTTCGTAGTTTTTCTTATCATTTTCACACTCGTGTAGATTTTATATAGTTAGAGTTGAGTTTTTAAAACATCCAACCTGAGGATTCTTCATTAAAGAGACTGCTTAATTAATTATTGACTAGGTATCTATACTTCTCGCACTATGTATGGCTTACTGTCATAATTATCATGTGTGAGAGCCATGCTTCGGCACGAATGGGTCGGCTCGACCGGAGTGATACCACGGCCGGCCTCACAGAAAACCGGCGTGAAATAACCACAGCGTTGTGTTTCGCCGTGTGAGTGAGGTTACCGGAGGCCCAATCCTTCCCCTCCCCCAATCCCTCCTCAATCCCTAAATCTCCAAATCCCTAATCCCTAAAAGGTCGGCAACGCATTCGTTACTCCTCCGTTGCGAGTGTCCATGGGCGGCGCTGATTGCTTACCATCAGGTAATCCGTCTGCTCGTTTGCCGACCTATTAAAATAATAAAAAAAAATATCAAGTACTTAGCCAGGACTGAAAATCAATAAGTTTACCAAAGAGGTGAACTTACTGGCTGAGGTCCTTCTTCGCCCATTTTGTCTTCGCTAATCTTTGTACCTATACAAAATAAAAAAGTCATTTTAGTAAAAAGTTAGTACCTAGTAAAGCGATTTCGTCGGAAATTTGTGGGGATTTAGTCCGATTTAGTTTAGAACCAGAAGAACATAGGATAGGTAGAGTATGGTAGGTAAGTAGTGTAGGGTAGGTAGAATAGGGTAGATATCTGTAGGCAATTAGGTAGTAGTCTGTAGTATGGTATGTTTTTACGATACTTATGTTATGCCAATAGTGTTAATAATACTTATTGTTTTTTGCCCAGATAAGTATTAAGTCCGAAAGTGATTTCAATAAGGTACCTAATATGTCTAAGTCCAACTTCCCAATTTTTACTTGCTACCTATTGTTACTGCCTACTGCATATGTCGTGGTGGCCCAGACGTTAAGCAGCCCGCTTCTCATGCATGAGAGTGTGGGTTCGAAACCTGGCAAGTACCAATGTGACTTTTTCCGAGTTATATGTACTTTCTATGATTATTTAGACACCACTGACATACGGTGAAGGTAAACATCGTGAGGAAACCTAGACTTATAATTTCTAATCATAAGTTTGAAATCGCCAACCCGCATTGAGCAAGCGTGGTGATTAATGCTCTAACCTTCTCCGTATGAGAAGAGGCCTTGGCTCAGTAGTGGGCACTTATAGGCTGATGATGACTGCATTTTATTAACCTTGGTCGTTTTCTTTGCAGTTCTTCGGCTACCTAGCGATGGTGTTGTACGGAGGAGATGCGTTCCTCAAGTATAAAGCGCTAATGGCAGGCGAGCTCGCTCAAGGTCACCGCGTGCAAGCCAAGCAGACACACGTGACCACGCCCCCCGCGTTACCATAGCAACCTGGATTTAGGTAAACTTTGAAAATGTACATAATTACTGCAAGATATTGTATTTACTCCTATGCATTAGTTTTTTTATATACCTGTATGCAATCTGAACATATAGACGCGATCTTTAAAATACTTCAATTTGTCAAAATTCTTCAATAAATTTTCAATCTTATGCTATTGTAATAAAGTTGAAAATGGAAGTACCTAATTTGTGAGCCTGATAGCTTATAATGAGCTGGTGTATACTTTTTTTTTAATTAGCGGAAGTCTTCTGTTAATTAGTATCTAATCAGCATCGCGTTTCGTTCCTTATTTCAAGAATCATGAATGCTAAAAAATTAAGACTTACCGCTGTAATCGTTCATTTAATGATGGGTAAAATTAACCCAGTCGTTGGATGATTTAAGTAATCATTAAATGTCTCTGAGTGCGGCAGTAAGAATACAAGCGCTCAAGTATATGGACCAAAGTCACGATTTGTTGTTCACATGCTAATTGAAAATGTTTCATACCCGCTAAATAAGTACCTACGGTTCTATTTTATGTTATGATTTTGATAAATTAGTAAAAATAATGAATCAGTGATATTATTTTTGAGATTTATTATTTATTTATTTGTATTGAATTATACATACTTTTTACTTAGATTTACTTTAATCAAAATTTATTTTATAAAATGATTCTTTTTTCTTGATGGGTTCTCAAGTAATTTCTTATTGATTTAAATATTTTGATATATATTAATTTAATCACAATTAAATTAATCGACAAAGACTAGGTTATAAGTATAATTTGTTTTCTTACTTTTGAATAATGCGGCAATATGTTTTAAATAATTTACTTACTCTATTTGGGAGCAAATAACCAAAAAAGTCCATGTTTAGCTAATAATTTTAGTTTTACAATTGTGTGAGATATAATTTAAAATGTTATGTTATTTTTGTTTGTCGACCTAGTCTTAATAGGTAGTTCTGCCCAGGTTTTTGTCTTGAATACCCAGACATTACAGGTAATAGAGGTGGTAGACAGAATCTACTTACCTACCTATGCTACAAGTAAAACACTGACAATTTGTCTGTCTGTATTTTATCAAGATAATCCTAAGTGTAGACCTATTTAAACAAGGCCAGAAGAAACAGTTATAAGTGTAGTGTAATAATAATGTATTTAACCTAATTCCCACCAAGTTATGTAGCCCAGTTTCTGATGGCTGTGACGTCACTAATCATGTGCAGTCCAGTGCAGTGCCGGTCGTATCTGTAACACGATAAACTGTAAATAAATCGCGGCCGCGCAGTCATACACCAAATCCTGTCAGTTTTGATAGTAGCTGCATACAAAATTAACATTATTATTATTAATCTGAACGTTTAGTTTTATGTAGTGTATATTTTTTGGGTGAACAAAAAAAGAACTGTCGACATTTGGCAAGCACATTTATGGCAAAAATTCTAGCCTAGAAGGTACCGACTTAATATTATGTTACCTAGTTTTTCTATATTTAGATATTACTTCAACAATGCTGACTGGCCATATTGGTAGACTTCGAGTGCGACTGCCGAGCAAAGGGTTCCGGGTCGGACAGCCTTATTACAATTTTGTCAGTAGTAGAGCGAAGTTTGGCATTTTACCTGGAATATTTTAATATGCTTAGGTAGATACCACCAAATAATAATTTAAAACCAGTGATTAGTCGGTTTACATTGAATGTGTGGTAATATAATTATGACATTATGAAAAAATCTACTGTAACTATCCTCTTCGGAGGTAAAAACCTTGACGATACTCCAAAAAGTAATAATCTAGGCGTCTATAAATTGTAAATGGTCTGCCTCTACTATAGTTTAGTTAGAATACTAACCGTGAATTGGCCAAAAGGTTTTCGAAGGGGGATTGGACCTCCGAAAGTATGTAGCTGGTTGGTTGATCATGACAGTCATCAGATCCTGGGTATGTTTGTATGTTAATGCTGCACAAGGGCTTTAATACCTCATTGTACTTATTCAAATATACTTCTTATTTTTGGACATATTTAGTTATATTGATCCACGAATATAGCTTAAAAAAGCCTTGAAAATTGAAATGTATAAAACTATAAATAATTATGAATTACTAACTACTTATTAAATGTTTAATGTGTAGACATTTTGTGATAATATTATATTAAGTACTAACTTATTTAATCATGTTTAAAACATGCTATTACATGTTATTATTGTTGTAAATAGTAATCAAAGATTGTAATCTAAGTTATGCCTATTGATATGAGTATTTGTAGCAGATGCGAAGTTAGGTAATAATAATGTATCTAACTAGTTTAATTATAGCTAAAAACTTAATTCAATTTATGTTTCTCTTTAAATTTTGGAACTAGTTAGTTTAGGTTCTTCAATCAATAATTTTCCTCAATCACTTTCCACTTCAAAACAAATTAATCAAGTTGAAAACAGAGAGATTGGAGAGATTTAACCTGCTGTCTTCTGTACAATCAAATTTCAACTTCAGCACGCTAGTTATAAGATTTCTTTTATAAATTGTACATACAAGTAATATTCCGTCCACTTTTCTTCACTATAGCTTTGCTCACATAATGTGTCAAATATAATAATATAAATAACGTGACCTTACAACATATGCTCATTTTTGTAATTGGTCTAACTCGGTTTTAAAATTTAATTAGCTCATTATAATAAGGAAAAACACACTACCTTCCCTGTATAATATGATGTAATGTATGTATGTAGGTATGTAAGTACCTACGCTAGAAATATTAAATTCACTGTTTAATTTCGCACCTTAGGCTGCATTTGTATTTTACTATTTTTAAACTTTCGTAACACAAACAATACTTTCATAAAAATGAATTTGTAAAACTTTTTCGCTCACTGTACTTATTGTATGAACCAAGAATTTTACACGATTTCTTAAACATATTTTCTATTTCTACAAGTTCTTAGTAATAAATATCGTTCTGCTATGCCTTTGGATATTCCGGTCTGACCGACTTTTGTTAGTATTTTCTTAATAATGATTGTTGTATGAAATAAAAGAACTGAAATTTATACATAGTGGTTTTATTTCGTTAACAGTTAGTTACAGAAATCAACAGGTGAATAAACAACAGTCGTCCAAACAAGAGAGTATCTCTTGTACGATAGCAATGGCGAGAATACACGGTAAAATGTGGCAAAAATCAGGAATTGTAACGCTGTGCCCGCCACTGGCAAGTCTAGCCACACATAGATATAAGATTATTTGGTGGCTATAAATGATAGTGGCGGTCACAGGGTTAAAGGTGGTTTACAGTTGTGCTATTCGAGTTTCACAGTTGTGCTATTCGAGTTTACTTACTGAGAATATGCCTCATTTAATCCTTTCTACTCAATTTAAAAAGAGATTAACAAAATGCGTTAACTTAATCACTTATAAAAATGTAATATCGAAAAAATATTAACAATAATACTAAAAAGTTAAGTAAAACTAATCAAAAAGAATATGAGGCAACACGTTTTACCGAGTTACGCATATATAAGGTTTGGTCTCACTAGAGAGTGTTAACGTAGTTTTAAGTTCTGTTCGTCCACTGTAGCGGTATGAAATAAATACCAATGGCTAATAACTAGATTTGTTCCCATTAACGCCTCTATGACAAAATTAAAACCATAACCTTTTTACAACCTTGGTACATATATGAATAACAAGTAAATGTCATATATTTAGGGATTGTTTCATTCTCTGTAAGATTTCATATTGCTTTATAAAAAGCTAAATGCCCAAAGAGTTGGACCCTTTGTTAAGTATATATTTATACCAAAAGTACAGGTGGGTTAGCATTAACAGTAAAACACTTCAAACTAGAAAATATACATGGCATATCCAAGTGCATTATTGTGTAAAGGTTTTTACAAATAGATATTTATAAAATACATTAGTACAATTTTCTAAAATATTTACATCGATATATTTTTCTTTTGCAAAATCTTTAACTGTGTAAATATAGACCCATTAGGTTTCTTGTACTGTTTCTATAAGTACATTAATATGGAGTTGCCTAGCGACATGCGCAAGCGCATACCGTGTCGTGACGTCATTTTATAATTAACTCCAAAAAATCCAGCTTATTCCATAGTCTTTATATGAGTCATTGTATACATTATCTATTTCATGTTTTAAATCCATGCGATTATTAACCTAGGTTGGAAGTTACAAGAGAAGTTGGCTGGAAAGTCAGTGAATTCCTTGATGATTTTCAACTTTATGCTGTTGTAATAAGGTTGAACTGTTATGATTTCCAGCCGAACCAAGCTATTTATATTATATAAGTTAGGCACATCGACAAGGCACATACATAGCACTATAATTTTATAAAATGGTATTTGAAGCAGTTATAAAAATATACGATTATAAGGATATATTTTTTTACAATTTGATATTTAACATTCATAAACAATTTGTGCATGATGTAAGTTAAACATAATTCTGACATTACGATTTACGAACAAATAGCTAGTCAAATATAATTAAACATTTCTTTCAATGGAAGTATTGAAATGAAGATTTTCAATCACCAAATTAATAGCTAAAAAAAAACCCAAAGATCTGAAGCCATAAAGATATACACAATAATACTTAAAATGACTGATACAGAGATAATACTAAACTTGTTAAAGTAAACTTAAAATATAAAATAATTCAATACTTATCGCTTAATCTTGTTAAAAGTCATACAAAATACTCAAAATAGGTACCTAATTAATTTGCATTTTTGTGCAGAGAACGTAACTTGGGCACTGAACTAACCCAGTTAACTCACCCAGTCAGAATGCAAACTTGTGCATTTAGGACTACTTCTGCCGAAATCGTAAAGCAATCTTCTTAATTTTTTATCCTATCTAAATGTAAGACGTTTAGTTGTTAGTATTGGAGACTGTAAGATCTTTTTTACTGTGGCGGCAGTCCACGTTTCCACGCCTTGTACTTGAGGTACCCATCGAAACTATATGCAATTATTGCGCATAGCCCGAAGAACTGCAATATAATAATGCAACATAAATATAAGGTGCTGAAAGTGTCTTATTAAAATTAGTTGGTTGGTAAGTAAACAATTGTTGTAGTGGCTGATGCACCCATTTCTTAAGAATGAGGGTGCGGTTTCCAAACCTGAAACTTGACTTTTACAAGTTAGGTGAAAGAAAACATCGAAAGGGAACACAAACTTATAATTTCTAATTACAAGTGTGTTTTTTTTACATGTTGCCCCTCTCTAGGATTGTCTCCTGTGTTGTGGGTGCGTTTACAAATATACACTTTAACATGCACATCACACTCAGACCCGGAACAACAATCTGTGGATCACACAAAGAGTTGTTCCGTGAGGGAATCGGACCCGCGACACATTGCGCTGCAGCTAGTTCCGCTACTCAGCTACAGCGCTAACCGTGCAGTCATTATTGCTTCAGCTTTTTCAGTATCAGAAGAAGCCTTTGCCAATCAGTGGGCGCTTTTGCTGATGATGTAAGTAAAGAAGTCAGTGAAAATATAATTAAAAAATCCTATAAAGATGAAATAAAAACTTAATTAACTCACCCCAACAGCATATCCAACACTCTCACCAATAGTTGAGGCGAATATAGAGCATCCTATATACGTAAGGCTCATAATGATACAATATGCAAACTCAAATTTTAGCCATGGCCATTTGTCAAATTTCTCTACAAAGTGGAATGTGTACATGACTAGTAGAAGCCCTGTCAGGATGATTCCGACCCAGTACAGTATATTGTAGAAAATTGCTGATACCCATGACCAAGATATCTTGATGCATATGAAACCTATAAGGTTACAGGCCTGAAAATAGGAAAATAAAATATTTATCTTATCTAACATCAGCTGATCTATTGATGTATGATGAGTAATGTACTTGAAAATCATAATCTGTGACTGTATCATACCAAGTATGGGAATACCATTTTATATGTTGTTTATTGAGATGACAAATATTGAGGAGACCAATCTTTCTTTTTAGTTTTGCATGACCTTTTACAGATTTTTTTATGTAGTTCTACTCTAAAATATTAGTCTGTGTTATAAGTGTTTACAAAGATTAAAATGCAGTCTCAGACTAGAAAAATCAATTTATCAAACACTTAGTCTTTTTTGGTGAAGGAATTGAGTGATCTTGCTCAGCCACTATGCCAAACTGGAGGAAAAGTTTACAACTGGTTATATGTTTATATGTAATGCAAATATGTAATGCAACTTAAGATATCTTACCAATTGAACCAGTTTGAGTATCCCGGGCATTGTTTGAATGTAACCTTTGTCAAACCGCACCACCTTCGTTGGCCTCTGTTGTTGTGGGGCTTCCTCATTGTAATTCATTGTGGTGGTTAGGTAGCTGCTGTAATTATAAACCATTTGCTAGTAGATACACTGTACATGAGAAGTAACTTCTTCCTTTATTTTTCAAACTTATTAGAGTGTGAATGTGAAGAAAAAAACGTGTATACTAATATACCTAATAAAATGGCTTTTTAATTTTTCCTTCCTTTTCGTTTCATGATATTTTGTTGCAAAAATTAACTTTTACGTAAAATTAAGAAAACTGGTCACACCCAAATACTAATTAATTTATCATCTAAAAGCAAGACTACCGCATTGTCAATGAAGAAAAATAATAAATTTTAATTACCTTAATCGTCCGTGTAGCAGAAATTATTATGTAGTCATTCAAAACTGAGCTTTTATTACACCTATTGTCCTTATTTTCGTATTGAAATAATGGACAACGTAAGTAAAGTATTTAATGGCAAAGTGACCGGAAAGAAAACTAAGTGTTAAACCACTTTTGCTTAGTAAACAACAAAATTCAAATTATTTCGTAAAAAAAGAGAAACCTTTGAATTACATTCCCATCCCACTTGTTGTGTGTAACTAACTGTCAAAAGTGTCAGATAAAACAAAACGTCAACAAGAAGACACTCCTCTGTTTATGATGACATTGACATTTAATATTGTTGTCATGCACGACTGTGCACGACATGGGTACAATAAATTGCAATGAATGGATTTTTCGATAACGAATTACAATTGGAAGATACAAAAAAACACAAAACTGTTTATAACGCCTACTGATAAATATAGTACGGTTGAAAAGTTTGAGATATTATGATATTTTTATTGCAGTTACGAAATATCAACATTCATCAAACCTTTTTGCATCGTACCTTTACCTATTTCCTGTCTATGGACCATACAGTTCGCAGTTGACATTGTCATTGGTTGTCAATGTCAATTAATTATGTCAGATTTAGACGGTAGAATACCTCTTTTCCAGCAGTCACTGAATGGACTGAGATTTGAGATGAGAGAAGAATATCAAGAGACGAACGTGACGGGCCGTGCGAGATTCGTTTCGTGTGCAATTCACCTATACTGACGGTGTATAATTACGCTTCTTAAATACTATGCAGAAACTACGCATGTAGTAGTGATCAGTTAAAATATGAATCTGTTATGAAGTTTAATTATTTAAAACTACAGCGAAATTTACCGAGTTACCGGTTACAGAAGTAAACATTTGTGATTCTTGAATAAATTTTGTGTGTGATGGGAGATAGAGATTGGAGACCGTTTATTTACGGCGGCCTTGCGTCGATCGTCGCGGAATTCGGTGAGGGAACTAATTATAATCGTTCTGTTGATCATAACCTTAAACATGTTATATCATCTGAAGATAGCAATTCATGAGATATAATATAATATGTTAATGAGTTACATTAATTTTGATTTTAAGAATTTATTACAATAGCGGATGATTGTTTGAAATATAATTGTCAAAAAATATAATTCTGCATAGGTACCGGAGCTAAAGTATCCTATATATTATTTAATCAATCCAGTATAATTCTATAACTATAATTTTGTAATAAAAATGTAATTATTTGCCTACTTTTAAACAAAAATTAACATTGTATTTAAATTTTCACACAATTGTGTAGTCAAGTGACATACATGAATTACGAGCAAACGGATGATTAAAATGTGACTACTGAATAATTAGCTTAATGTGACTTACGATGCTTTACCTCCAATATACAGAATTATTCTTAAACCAAAATCCGCCCCTTAGGCTACCCACTGACCAATATCACAATATACTTGTTTCCATGGTAAGCATAGTAGGCCAAATAAATATTACCATGAAAGAACTGTATACACTATTATTTGGGCCATGCCATCCATAAGATTTTCTGGATTTGTCCTAATTTGAAAGATAATAATTAAATCTTTTATTAATTGGTCTGCTTAGTTCATAATGGTATTTTTTTACCAGGCACATTTCCAATAGACACAACAAAGACCCGACTTCAGATACAAGGGCAGAAGATAGACCCTCGGCATGTGGAGCTCCGTTACACTGGCATGGTGGACTGCTTTGTCAAGACATCTCAGCAGGAGGGAGTCAAGGCACTTTACTGTGGGTGGGTATACTTGGCTTACATTAACTTTAGTTTTAGGCCGTTGGTATATGAATTATAAATTGATCAAGGGTAAAAAGCCATGATAGCATGTATGAAATAAAAAAATCCGTGCTCTATGATAAAAGAAAAAAATTCTAAGCATAGTTTACATTATGGGACTGGTTACAATAGTTTGTTGTCACTTTACTGTTTTTTCAATAAGAGAAAAATATTTACTTGTAATAGATAAAAATTGTTTTTGATGGTAATCTAGACAGCTTATGTTATCTGTCTGTTTTTTATAATCTTGCAATATCATTAGTTGCACTGATAATGTCCTGAACCAGTAGTCTCTCTGTCTACAACAAAAAATTTGCATCAGCTAGGAAAAACAAGTTGTTATTGCTTTATAGCTGTTCATAAAACCATTGTTTGTATTTGTCAATTTAATTTTAAGTCTAACAAATGTTTGCTTTTCTGTTAGTGATAAATTAATAGCAAGTTGTACTTAAAATTCCTACTTAAGTACCTATTTACACAAAAAATACTTATTTACATGAATGATGTATTTAAGTATGTATGCTTTTAATCCATTTAACATAAATTATGGTCTTGTATATGCTGCAACACCTCTAAAAAGTCAAAATACAGCATAGCAATTTCTGTTAGAAAATGTACAGAAAGTCCAGATCAAAATTATCATTTTAATTGAAAAAAGGTAACATTACATTTGTGAATACTGGCCAATTTTCTTTACAATTCAAATTTGTGTTAAAGATACAAAGCCATTAGGAACAGGGCAGTATTGAGGCTGATATAAATCGATAGCACCAAAACTAATATCGATAAGTGGACCCACGCGTCGACGCTATTGTCAAACACGTCGACTATCTCGTTTGAGTGCAAAATAGCGTGCAAAACACTGGGATACGCAATGTATTGAATCATACGATAAGCCAGGCCGGCCCCTGCCGCCGCGTTAGTGCCGTCTGTTATCTGCTGACGAAAACAAGTAAACACGTTAATATTTATAACGATATTAGGTATATTTATTCTTATTAGGCTCTCGATGCTGTTTACGTAGGATATGAGATTTAATTTTTCGAACTGTGGTTTATTAAAATTGGTACATTCATGAAATCCATTAATACCTAGTAAATAATTAGTAATTCAATACTAAATAATCGAAAAATGGATATTATTGTAATCAGACTGTAGTTGGAATGTCTATGATACGCAAATTTTCCTCGTATCTCTCCTTTTGATAAATGCGAATACTAAAACGAACGACCTTCGAAGTTAATAACCTGACGAATTGAGACGACATTCGCGATATCGCGGTAGAGGATTCCGAGAAGTCATTCGTGAAACGTATTAGCATCGCTGAAAATTAATTTGGATCTAGGTAATTACATTTTCTTAGCAAGCGGTAAATTGTAATTATAGTCGATTAATTAAAGAGTAAACTAAGCAAATAAGTCGTGAGTTTATCAGCATTCGATTCAGTATGCAGTATTACAATAGACACGCCTCCTATTACATGATGCTCGTAATCATAATATAGCTGGAGTTGGGTGTGACAGCCAATAGCTAAGTATGTTTACCTACTGCGGGGAATAGACTTATACTTGCAAGGTTATGGTGGTACTTTCACCTGTTTCCATGCTGCTCCCATATTTGATTGTACTTGCTCAATGAAACTTTTGAACTTTACAAGGAGTTGAGTACTATGCGCTTATTTCCTTTTGGTACCTACTTGTGCTAAGAAAAACTGTAAGCACTGAATCTCCATAAATGTTCTTCATCTCTATTTCGACCTTCCCGTGACTTCACGACCCACCGCCACGCAGTCTCGAGTCTTATGAATCATTTTGTACTTGCCAAAAGCTATTTACTACCAACTGCGCATTTTCCGAAGTAAGTATTTCAATTTGAAATTGTTACTGTCACGATATTCTTGTTCGAATCACCGACATTTTAATACTTTCGTGATTTGTGATACCACACAAGTTTCTACTTTTGTCTTCTGTTTTTAATTTTATCCAATTAGATATAGTCAAGGGTAAATGACTATAGAAATTTATTTCAAAACATTTTCTCTACTATGGTAATAAACAAATGACGCATTCCTACGTTTTATTTGTTTATAAGAATATTTCTAACTGCGACATACAATATGACACAATCGTGACGTAGTCAAAACTCTCTTTGTTGTAAGTAGGTAAGTAGGTATATCCTTTAAATGCACTTGATGTTTCGGTTTATTAGCTTTTTGTCGACATAAGAAGTCTTCTCAGTAAGCTTATAGTGTCTAATTTAGTAGTAGAGCGTAGAGAAAAAAAATCTGAGAAAAACGTCGTCTGTGAAAATCCATAGATTAACACAATGTACACACAATGAAGGTTATTTGCAATGAGCAAACTAGGACAAGTAAAAATAAGCATTATCTTGAAAATACAGCTCGCAGACTATAATTTAGGTACACACTACATTTTGGCGAATGTTCAAAAGTTTGAATAATGTTTATGAATTGCTAATTAGAATGCTTTTACACAAAACTAAAGAAACTAGGCCCATCTGCCACGGGTAGAAAAAGCCTTCAAATGACATGAAATCCTTCAGTGAGCAGTAGACGTCTTCCGAAGCTTATATTCACACATTCCTCGTATTGTCTTCAGCATCTGGCCGGCGGTACTCCGACAGGCGACGTATGGCACGATAAAGTTCGGCACGTACTACTCTATGAAGAAATGGATAGCGCAGCACAGGGCTGACGGGGGCTCCATAGAGCATCTGCCCACCAACACATTCTGTGCCGCCTTCGCTGGTGGACTGTCCAGTGCTATCGCAAATCCTACTGACGTGCTTAAAGTGCGGATGCAAGTGAGTGAATTTTTGTCATAGTATTTCGCTTAATGGCAAGCAGTGAACAACGATCTCGCACGCGTGCCTACTTTCTTGTAATTAATGGCGATGTAATGATAAAATCTTATAAAAACTATGTGTAATGGGAAGTACCTACAAGAATGATTTTGGGTATGTCATCAGGTAGGAGATGAGAAGCGCGGCTTGGTGCGGTGTTTCATGGAGATCCACCGGCTGGAGGGGTGGCGCGGGCTGTGGCGGGGCGTGGGCCCCACGTCGCAGCGCGCCGCCGTGATCGCGGCCGTGGAGCTGCCCGTGTACGACGCCTGCAAGAAGCGCCTCACGGTGCCGCTGGGCGACTCCCCGCTCAACCACTTCGCGTCCAGCCTGCTGGCTAGTCTCGGCAGTGCCGTAGCAAGCACGCCCCTCGACGTCATCCGGGTAACTGAACCATATTACATAACAAACATCCAACTCGCCTTACACTCAAAAATTTTCATGTTTCTTCGGTTATATATTCATCGGCAAAACTACAAAATAAGCAATGCGCATCTTGCAACTTACTCACTATCGATGTTTAACATGTTTCATTACATTAATCAATAGCACTGATTACTTTTATTTATATTTTATCTAATTTACTTTTTTGGTGTTACAGACGCGGCTAATGAACCAAAGAAAGTTGAAGGGACAGGCGCCGAAGCCCAACGAGAGAATTTACAGGGGGACAGTTGACTGCTTCCTACAGGTACATAGTACATACATAATAATATCTGATCTGCACAATTTTTATATCTAGTTCAAAGATAGAGCGTGCACTGATCAAATTACTATCATCCAATCACACATACTTTTTTTGATAGACCATGTCATCATTCATCATTAGCCTGAAAGTACCCACTGCTGAGCAAAGGCCTCTTCTCAAACCGAGAAGGTTTGAGCATTTATCACTAGGCTTGCTCAATGCGGGTTGGCGATTTGAAACTTATAATTATAAAATAAAAGTCTAGGTTTCCTCACGATGTTTACGTTCACCGTATCGCAGTGGTGTCTAATAATTATATAAAAGTCGCATTGGTACTTGTCAGGTTTCGAACCTGCACCCTCATGCATGAGAAGCGGGCGCTTTAACCTCCGGGCCACCACGACTTTGGTGGTGACGTGAAAGACCACCCAAGCAATAATTAGTCTACTGTCTCCAAGGATAAAGTTCAATTAACAATGCCTTTCACTACATATATTTACAGACGGTGCGCAATGAAGGTTTCCTTGCATTATACAAGGGTTTCGTGCCAACCTGGCTGCGGATGGGGCCCTGGAACATCATCTTCTTCCTCTCATACGAGCAGCTCAAGCAAATGTACTGAACATGGACTTGTGTAAATGTTGCTGGATGTGGTGATTAAGTACGTATGTTGTTTAGTTAACTTCCTAAGAACAAAAGGATCTTACATAGGATGTTCCAATTTATTCAAGTTGCTAAGTTTGGGCGCATGTCACGTTTTCATTCCCTCCCATGTCTCGTTTATCTTTTTGTTTTCATTTCATTTGGTCTCCTATGAATCAATGAGTTGTAATTGTTTGAATCTATACACACAAGATAGCCCTGGTGTTGATAAATTAAGACAAACATCATGATTACTACAATATTACATAATTGTAGTTGATGGTAACTCAGGTTTTTCAAGAATCACTAAATGCTCGAATATAATATTCCTTGTTCCTTGTTATATACAGGGTGTAAAAAGACTAAGTAGCTTTACGCTAAAATTATCACTGGACGTTTTACTTCGCAACAACAAAACAATTCTGTAAAATAAAAATCCTACTGAGATGCACGATGTTTTTTGTCACCGTCTGCTCGTTTGCCAACTATTCCATAAAAAAAAAAATTACTTACATTACTGTTCGTAACTTCAAATGCGTAATTTATTTAGAAAAATCGAAAATTCAGGTAATGTTTGTTTGGAAAAAAGTTTTGTAATAATACTTAGAAGTCGATTGCGCAAAAAAATGCATCTTTGCCCTATGGTCTTAAAGAAAAAAATGATCCAAATAATGGGTAGAATACGTGGCTTTCGGCTTCGTCAAGTGTCTTTTTACACCCTGTATTTGCTTTATATTTCCACATATATAACATCAATTATTCTATTTCAGATCACCATTGCGCAGTAGAATCTAGTGCTGAAGGCACGGCGAGAGTGAGCTTATTGTATGTAGTTTTAGGGATCATTATTCAATGCTACATTCTATAACAACATTTGACTTATTAATTTTGAAGTAATCAATGATTTTATGCTATAATTATTTGCATTCTTTCAATATTTACCGAATATAAGCATTTCGTTGTTAGATGGCAGCTTAGACCTAAGTGTAACAGGAGCTTTTGTAAGTTATTTTATGTTAAAATGATTCAGAAACTCGCTTTGTTTATATAGGTAGTTCCTTGTTAGGTGGTAAGTGCACGTTTATTCTGTATTGGCACGTTTACACGATGATTGTAGTCATGATCAATAGTTGTAATTAATAATCGACTTACTGTAAGCGTAGACATTGTTGTTTGTGTACTTTTACAATATTTGTATGTTGCGCAAAGTACTGCGCTAAACACATTTGGGTTGCGCAAAGAATATCACTATAAATAAGTAAATATGTGGCATTTATTAATAGAAGAACATTTATTATTTGATATTTTGAGGTCAATTTTGGCGTGTGCAATGGAATGATAATGGGAGTTGAATGGGAGGTATGTGAGAAGGGTCTATGTAGTATATAGGGCCGCGGCCGGTCAGACCGGAGCCCGAGACTTAGTTGGGGGCTACGCGGCCGCACTGCGAGACTCCGTGAGATTGAGATTAAGGCACACAGTGCTCACTTTTAGACGAATATTAATGTTTTTGTATTATTTTTTAATGTCGTGTTTGAAGTATGAACTATTTCTCTGTTATCCAACGATTATTTGTCTGGATGTTACAATTTTACCCTCTATTGTGTAATGGTTGACCATACAACATTTTAGAAGTGTTAAACTATGTATATCTGTTATCTGTTAATATATCTGCACCATTTTAGAGAATTCTTAAAAATGTAGTTTGCAACACAAGACTGTAAGTTTTTAGCATTTGAATGTATCTTGAATATATTATATCGTTGATAGCACTCTACTCAGTACTATTTATAATGCGCAGTGTCACTGATGCTGCGTGTTGACGTTGTTAATGAAGCTATGTAGTCGTAAGTAGAACATTCTGTAAATATTTATGTAAAGTTTTATTTTTGAAAGTATCTTTCAATGTAATATTAATGAAATGTAACATGCCGACTTTTCCGTGTCCTTTTTTATGTGATTCAGTGTACATTATAAGAATCGTAAGACAATGTTTCCATCCATAAAACATTCAGTGTTGCATCATTAACGAGCTGCTGCACGAATATGAATCCAAATACTCGGGATTTAAAGGTGATTATCCCATAATACTTATCTCTTGATACCTTGATACAGATCGTATGATACTTAACCCAGTTATACCAGTATAAAGTCCGGTCGCGGAGCAGGAAGAAATTCGTACAATGGCCTGTTATTACCTGTCTCTGTCACTCTCGCGTAAATATGATGCGTCTCGCTCGCACAAATCCAATGACCGCGGCACTCAGGGATTCCTTTAACCTACTAGTGTAAGGTCTGTTTTTGTTTGTTTGTGGTTGTGGTTTTTGGTTGGCCTTGAGTCATGACATGGCTTACTTGACATAATTCATAAATTTTTAAATTCCATCTCGGGATGCGTTAGTGATCGCTCAGTTTTCTGACAGTAATCTCAGTTATCTTAGTTTGTTGTTATTTGTTAGTTCTCTTTTGTTAGTTCTCTTTCTCTTTTGTTATTAAAATTAACAGTAAAGAAATTATTTATTTAATAAGCTAGTATTTTTTTTCTCCTTCAAATATTATAAACTGCACTTTATACAAAAATGTTTGTGACCACTGTCAGTAGGTAAAGAGGTCATTGTACGAATTTCTTCCTGCTCCGCGACCGGACTTTAGCTGCGTTAAGTGCAGAAGCCAGCAAGTCATGTATCCGAAAGAGTTTTAATTCTTTAATAGATTTTCAACTTTATTGTTCAGCAGTAAGGGCGAAAATCAAATAGTGTTTCGATTACCTTGTTGTTCTGTGGTGTGAATTCACCATTCAGAAATGTATTGAATTAACAGAATTATTTGTAATTCGTGAACTTTTGGAGCAAGTTTATACTATCATTGAATGTGGATGTCGCTTACATATGTATGTATCGTGTGAAACACTAGAAATAGAAGCTTTCTGTGAATATACACTAGGTACAAAGAATTAGCCAAATTAATTAAATCCAAATATACACAATTGTATAAAATTTTGTTGTTTTATTTGTATACGAATATTAATATTAATTATAATATATATTTGAAATTTAAGTCCAAGTTTCCTCACGATGTTTTCCTTCACCGTGTGTGGTGTCTAAATAATCATAGAAATTATCGACATAGCCCAAAGGATTAGCAAACTGAAGTGGCAGTGGGCAGGTCACATCTGTCGAAGAACCGACGACCGCTGGGGTAAACGCGTTCTAGAGTGGAGACCACGTCTAGGCAAACGTAGTGTAGGGCGCCCTCCAGCTAGGTGGACTGACGACATCCGCAGGGTGGCTGGCAGTGCTTGGATGAGAAGTGCTGAACAAAGAGCTCAGTGGCGTGTAATTGGGGAGGCCTATGTCCAGCAGTGGACGACAACAGGCTGATGATGATGACATATAACTACGGAAAAGGTCACATTAGTAGTAGGTAGCCAGGTAGCCAGGTCTCGAACCTGCACCCTCATGCATGAGATGAGAACCGGTAGATGTATACTTACGTGCATTGTAACGGAACCTATGAAAGGCAATGTCGGAAGGACCAAAAAGAAAAAAATTGTTTTGTAATATTTGGCTTGAAAAATTAGGCTACTCTTAAAAGTCGTGCTGTCTAAACAGAAATATTTTTCATACAAAAAAGATTCATCGTATGCGCACTCTGATTGGGCCACTTCGACTAAGAAGATTGTTTGTGTTTAAAGTACAACAAAACTTTTTGGTGAAAAAGTTGACGTTATATATTAATACTGGCCTTCTTTTTTCATCTTAGAAGCTTTATGTCAGTTATAAATATAAAACCTTATCGAACACACGCAAGAAAAAAAGTTAACCTATCTAAAGTGATGGCGCCTTACTTACCCACAATTATTACAATGCAACAGCATCTTTAGAAACAAGATTAAATATCATTTTAATTAATAATGGATCCGGCTGCGGTGGATTGTGAGTTAGCCGAGAGGGACCCGGGGATGTGTGTGTGCAAGGAGGGCCCCACCCTCGATATCCTGAAGGACATACAGAGGCTGTATGAGGAGAAGCTGGAACAATTGGGCAGGGCGCGTGGCACTACCAAACTGCAGGTCTGTCGTTATGTAGTCGATCCATATAGAAGTATCTTAATTAGTGCTGTGAGTGTAAAACATTGAAATAGTAACTCATTCAAATTATCCATACTGAATTATTGCCGAGTTCTTAAACCCTATGGAAAAATAACAATTAACCCCTAGTTTTGGTCTGAGTCAAGCTACCGAACACGTCTTGTTAATTTATATAAATAATCTGGCCATGCAAACAAAGCAAGAGGAATTACTGCCAGTACACAGTAAATAAACACCGCTCAGTTTATTTCAACTAAATCGTCATCGATACCCATTTGCCTTCCTAATAGCACCAAGTGGATCTGCTTCGGTCGTGGGTGAGTGACCTGGTGGGCCAGAACACACTTCTGGTGCGCGCCGTAGAAGAGCTGGAGACTGAGGCCACCACTAAACTTATGATGGAACGACAGAAGAACAACGAAGTACGTACAAAAACATAGGATTACTCGTACGGAGTTTTTTTCTAAACAATGGAATCTCTACATTCGCCACTCCTAGCACCAGTGTTAGATAGGTAGGTAAGTTAGGTTATCTTTCCCTAACGAGTTAACGAGAGTCGATTCTACCTACCTCCTTAACTTTACAATACTATGATTTTGCTTGGACTTTTAATACTAAGGTACAGTCAAGCAAGGTTTCCATTGAATTAGTGCAGTCCTTTTGTCGTTGAACATAAATCTCGACTCGAACACCACCTGATTGGCGCCGGTAGCTAAATGGTAGCTACACTCTTGTATTTCAGGAGTTACTGAGAATTAGTAGAGGTTGTTGTCTAACGGGATACTTTGTGATGGCGAGTAGCAGTTCGATAGCCTTTGAGAAGGAAATAGAGTGTAGAGAAGGCGGTATGCGTGTGTACTAACGTTGCAAGTTGGTGTCGGTCAGGTGGTGTCCGAGCTCCGCGCGGAGTGCTCCGCGTTGCGCGACCGACTCGTGCGCAAAGACTCCGACCTGCGAGGCTTGCTGGAAGTGCTGCGCAGGCTGCGGGAGAATGACAAGTGCACCCTCTCCGGCATACAGTTCTTCGAGGTCACCGAGTCCGATATCTTCGGCTCAGTCGAATGGTAAGTCTTGACAATACTTTGTCGTTTTGTGTCGTTTAAGTAATGTTTATTTACTTTATTTTTTCTAAGTCTTTATCAGCTCTAGTGTCATATGTCTAAATATTTTGTACAGGAGGGAAAGCAAGATGGAGCGCGGCGACTGGAAGCCAAACAGCTATAAACAAGAGACGAACAAATATAAAATCAGCCGACATTACAGAATAACATAAACCTTTATTTAGCCATATTGCCTATATTGTCTGTTTTATTTTACACGCTTATTTGGAGAATAACTTTATTATATGATTTATACTGTGTTTTCTTTTCCCCTTTATATTATATCTCCAGTAACAATATTTTGGAAATATATTATCTAAGTATATGTTTTACTTTGGAATGACTGCACTCTATAGGTATATAGATAGATACTAATAAGTAGAACTTAGAATGATCAATGAATATTGTAATGTTGCCACAGAGAAGTGGAAAGAACATAATATGCAGCAATGTGTCGGAACTCAAGTTGTTGAACGAGACACTGCACAAGGAGAATATCGCTAAGGAAAGGTGGGTTATATAGAAACAGAAGTGACTTTAATTTAGGTACCAAAGTATAAAAATAATAGCAACAATGGCCCCTGTTTGCAGAGAGATAAGGCAACTGAATAAGGATGCTCAAGCGTACGAGCAGACCATCATGAACCTTAGGAAGGAGATGTCAAACTGCAAGTATCACACGCCGTGAGTACCCGCCTAGCACCTGCCATTATGTCGCCTCAAACGATGACAGAAATAGTAATCCTGGAGCAACATCCTGCTCCACGTTTTATGCGCTCGACGCACGAAATCCGGGACACAAAAATACTTTGTAACTGCGAGATAGATACACATTTGTCTTTTTTATTTCGTTCGGTTGACAATATTTATTGTTTGAATTTGTTATGGCACATTAAAGCGACAGGTGTTACAAATGTTTCGCTGTGTTTCCTGTTCGTAGAGAGGTGTCGAAGAAGGATGCTGAGGTGATGGCTGGCATGTGTTGCACGGGGTCTGAGGTACGGGACTGTTGATTATGGAGTTACTATTTTCTTGTACCTAAAGCTTGTTTAATTTGGTCCAAACACAATGATACGTTTTATATGCTAAGTAATACGTATGTATACACTATCCAAGTACTTAGGTACGTAGTGGGCAATCTTTTCCATTGGTATATGTAGGTATATAAGTATCGGATATTTCCAAAATGTTAATGTACTTATTATAACGATTTATTTCTTTATGTAGGAGTAATTATTTATATCATTGTGATAAACCTTTCATAGCTTATCATGTTTTAACTTTAATATAAGTTTTTCTCGAAATGTTTAATTATAAGTACTTATGTCCATTTATTTATATGATAATGAAATTGTAATGCCAAGTATCCCTGTATGTGCATGTTTGATATGCGGACATAGTGTGGCGAGTGGGAACCGGTGAAAGACTTCAGTGAGCTGCTGCGGCACGAGACCCTCAAGTACCAGGAGCGCATACAGAAGATGGAGTCGAACCTCAAGGTACACTCTATCTAGCTACGATTAAATATTTACTATCTCCTGACACACTTATGTATATGCTTATTTATAAATAGTCAGATGAGGTTCAGATTAAGTATGTACTTATTAAAATTATGTGGATATCTTTTGTTTTGGGTTAACGTACAGGCTAAATGTGGCTGCAGTTAGGAATAAAAGTTCTAGTTACGATAACTTATAATGTCGGTGTTATAATTTGGATGGGAGAGCATGGGAATCTATCGAATGAACTCCCTTGGCATCCGCAGACGAGCAGCGAAAACATCCGCGAGTTGCGCAGGGTGAACGTTTCGCTGTCGGAGGAGATGCAGGCCATGCGGCGGCTGTGCGCGGCGCTGGACGAGCAGTGCCGGGACGCCAACATGCGCGCGCTCTTCAAGGACGACATCATCAAGGAGATGCGGCGACAGCTCAAGCTGGCCAAGGCCAAGGTATCCTGCGACATTAGGATAGCTTACCTAGTTAGTGGCTCTTCTGGCTAAGTAGCACATCCAAAACAAGCAACTACCACTATATTTATTATATCTTATTCACTAAACATTGTACATAGGGCGGACTTATGCCCGGTTCCTATATTTAACGAATCGTCGTTGTATACGCATTACGACCAAATGACATTACGAATAGTTATCTTGACCATCTACTGACGGTTAAAATATTTATAGGAAAACCACAGACATCATAGATCTCCATACAATTCGCTTACCGATATCCGTTAGTTGCAAACCGTCAGTAAGTTGCACGACGAGACGTTTGTTATAGGAACGGTTTTAGCTTACGAGTCGTATATAAAACTACTATTCGTAACTAAAACGGATCGTTTCTCAATTATAGGAACCGGGCATTAATGCATTACCTAAGCATTTTCTACCAGTCAACCTTTGAGTGATGCAGACAATCTAGTGGTAGTAGCAAGAAGCAAGCACTATGATATGAAAACTGTCTTCTTTTCCTCTTTTTTTTAAACACATGGTCACTCACTAGTTTTTCTCCTTTATCGTGGGTGCGTCTACAGACCTACAATTTCATACACCTCCGAACAACAACTTATGGATCATAAAAAAAGTTGTTCCGTGCGTCATTTGCCCAGCCATGCCAACAGTGCAAACAATATTTTTGTGTCAGACCCTTGTTGGCTAATAACCACCTTTCATCCTTTTTCCACCCACATTCCTTCTCCTGCTACATCTTTGAGCTTGTCTCCGCAACCCCGGTTGGGCCCCACCTGTCATGGCTTTAAAGGCGCGCGTGAAAAGCGACGCCGTACCCACGCTTGGGTCTGATTATAGTCGGGCGGCGAACTATCTTTGTCGATCTTTGGCGCGAGAGGTCGCCGCCGCTGATACCCTAGGGCCCGTGCTCTAGTTTTAATAATCACGGATGTAGGCTAAATCGTGAGATGTTTGCAGATAAAGGACAACTCGGAAGTGACGAGCCTGAAGTCCAAAGACTACGTGAGCGGCGACGGTGAATGTCCGCACGGGTCGTCGGAGTCGCACGAGTCGGCCCCGCCGGCGTGCGCGCGCGCCCAGCCACGCCGGCGGCGGGACGTGCCGCCACGCCCGCACGACTGCCGCGCCACCCCCAGCCACGCCAGCGGCAACGACGAATCTCCCAATATCGCATAACCACTTGATATTTATTCCTACGGTTTGTCGTATTAAACATACGTTTAGATAAGGTTTTTGTCTTTGGATCAGTTTTAGGAAGCATTTAGTTAGATTAGAGAGACTTCGAGATATTAACCTGGCTTAGAGAGAATTATAAGAAAATGTAAAAATTGTCAGAGTGAATGTGGCTACCGTTGTACGAGGATACAGATTACGATTACTGCTATATTAACAAAAACTGTAAAAATATCACTAATTTTTACGCACCTTAAACTCTACATACATATATTTTAAGTGCGCATGTTACAAAGTTTATCTACTAAATTCACCGTTAGCTATGTTATTTTTAATGTGAAATGGTAACTCGTTCGTTCTCTAGCATGCGCGTTTGTTAAATTACTATTGTCAGTATAACGTCTTTATCAAAATTCAAGTTGGTTGCCGTAGCTAACCTAAATATTAATGTTCAAAGTATTTAATAGGAAATCAAATGGTTTCGCGAAGAGACATAAGTTACAGGTACCTTCAATAATTGATTTAACATTTCTATACAAACGATATCTAGGTACGAATACGAATCCAAACCCGTAAAAGTCTGGTCCGTCGCAGCCTATTAACCTAAATTCCTAACTATTTCTTTGGTAGTTTATTATTTGGCACTATATTTATCATCTGCCATCCGATTTCTTTCATGCATACAAATAGCCGAAATCTATCCGCATTTTCCAGACCCATATTTTCATTGTTTCGCACAGCAGCGTGAGTATGTTGAAGGAAAAAAGATGACATTGATATTGGATGATTTTTTTTATTTACCTAAAAATAAAGCCCAACGCAAGATTTAAAAGCGTCTACATACTTATGAAAATATATAATAGAAAATATAGGTAACTTTAAAATGATTAGGTTAATAAAATGAAGGTAGGAAGACTCAGTTTTTATTTTAAAACGAATATCTTGTATCAAGTTTCTTTACGAGCAGTCTCTATAAATATGTAGGTAATGTTTAATTGGCATATAAATGATGGTTCCGTTTACTCCAACTTTTTTATTTATATTTTAGCTAATGTTACCAAGTGCACGTCTACAGTAAGTAACTGACAAGGTAAGATACTTCGTAATATATACAAACACTTTGATCATTATACAAGTTACATGTACCGGGTGTATTTAAAATTGATTTGCTATTTAGTATCTTGTGTTTGGACCGCTTTATTCATAATTATATTAAAATAAATGGCTTACAAGTTTAGATAATGACATGATTTAAACTTATAATCGGCATTAATTGGGCTTTCATTTGAAATATGTTTGAAAAATCGATTCAACTTTATTGAAATACAAGTATTATATCTAGTAGTTGACCACAGGACGGCTTATTCCAATCTATCAGAATTCTTTACTTTATTTTAGACTTTATGACAAAATATTAAAGATAAAAAGATTTTTCAGATTGGAAGAAGGTAACCTGCTGACATATGCAAATAGTTAATAGGGAATATTATGGATTTTATTTATTTTGTTTATAAAGTGGCCTGGTCCTGAGCCGAGGACCTCGACTCCTAACGTGAGCTGCGCGCCGCACTGCGACCCCGCCTCGTCCACGCCAAACATATCCCTCATAGACAGAGTGCGTTTTATTTTGTTTTATATTTCGCTTTGATGTTCCGTCCCGGTAGTGAGTCAGGCGAATGGTTATATGTATAGTTACTAATTATAATCATTTATCCATTCAACGAAAGGTATATTATTACTCTTACTTTTGTACTGTGATCTACTGTTGTGTTGGTCATTTTTAATGGGCATCTTAGCAGGTCCGGTTAGCTAATCAAACTTTTTAAAGTAACGTCTGTACCCGTGGTCTGTACACTGTAATGTTTTTGTTTGTTCCCAGTGCTCTTCAGCGCCGATACTGGTGTCTGATGCCTCGATAGCAGACCTAGAGTCGCACTTACAGAAACATACAACTTCATTCAAGAAAGAAAAGTCAAACAATACTACCTTCTGTACCCCCGGAGGGTCTTTAAAGACCTCGCATTGTAATGATTCCAAAAATTCTTCCTGTCAGGCTTCCCCTAGACAATGCACATTGCAGGAGTCTACCCGAATTTGTCCTCGGCAGGAAACTTTACAAGCTTGTCCTCAGCAAGTTTCTCCACGACATTGTTCCCGCCAAGAGCATTCTGGCTATCCGAGCCGGCGCCCAGCGTGTCACAAGTCTACAGATTCAAGTCGGTGCTGTGGGGGAGGTGCCCATAAACGAGGTGAAATAAAGTTTGCCCGGCTCGAACTATGTCCCGACAACAAAACGCAGAAAACAAAGAAACATGGGAAGTTCGACTGTGACTGCGTTGAAGAGTTATATTTTAACGATGAAACCAAGAAGAGTTGTGGATCGAGTCCCAGGTGAGTGGCAAATAATTTCCAACGTCTATATACAACCTGTTCTTCCCGTCCCTCCCATTTAAGGGCCCCGTTGTGACTTGAAACTAGTAGAGCTTTTCTCAGTTAATTTGCGTGAGTAAAGGCTCTGGCGCGTGATACTCTATATGTCTAGAGACCATATTGTATAAAAAAATCAATTGGCATTTGGATTGTTTCAATCCACTTTATAATTAATACCTATTTAAAAAATTTCATACCAAATGATTCGGCAAATTTACAAATTTAATAGCTATAAAACGTAATACAATTTCAAGTGATCCCAGTATAGCATTTACTTAGCAATCTTTACGAATGATTTGTTTGTAATTAAAATAAAAATGTTCAATCATCTTATTCATCGATGACTTTATGGTCTAAATGTAGCTTCCTCGCAAAAATAAAAAATGTGGTCACAAATTTTGACATAATTTCTTTATTTGATTGATTTGACTAAGCATTTTTGCTTAGTCTTAGCCGTGGCTCCTATTGAGCCACTCCTCTAGAAAGGGCCTTACAGCCGCTATAGCGGCGTGCCCCGCCGTGGGTTGCGCTAAACGCGTCTGCCACTCCGCCACTAAGGCCTGACGGAGTTCTGCCCTGCGTGCCTCAACCTGTCGAGGCACCAGGCGTTCGCCTCGCTCGACTGCTTCCACGCGCCACCAATAGAGCGACGCGAGGAGTTTTGCGTCGAGGTCCCAGGCATCGTCCCATCGTCCCATCGCGCGCTGTGGCCTTCGCAGCGCGGCGATGTTACGGGCCGTCAGGGCGTCCGCCCATACTGGCGCGGCGTATAACGCCATCGACCGTACGACCCCCATGTAGAGCCTCCGGCAGGAGGAGATGGGCCCCCCCTGGTTGGGCAGCAACCGCGACAGCGCAGCAGCAGCGCTCATCAACCGGGGGGCGAGCCGTGTAAAGTGCGGCCCGAAATTCCACCGACTGTCGAGAACGAGTCCGAGGTACTTCATCGTGGACTCAACAGCGATGGAAACCCCTCCTACTATGATGCTGGATCCTTGAGGTTGTTTCGGGTCTGGGTGTCAAGTGTATGTGAAATTGTATGTTTGGAAACTCACACACGACACAGGAGAAAATCCTAGTGTGGGGCAACGTTTTTAAATAAAAAAAAATAAAAAAAAATTTTTTTGGACCACCTATTCAAGGAGTTTTAGTACTAATTTAGATTATTAAATATTAACCTAGAGTTAATGGGTGTCAAAAAGAACAGGTTGTAGGTAGGTATAGTCCCATCTTACCTCGCATGGTAAAAAGTTTAAAATAAAGTTGTCTGCATTGCCTGAATGAAAAGTATCCTATTTGTCATTCCAGATCGTAACCTATATTATATCTCTTTGCAAAATTAGTTCAACATTGAGATTGCAACAAACTATAACTCTATAAGCTAGGTAACCGCAAGTTGATACGTCCCCAGCATTTACGACTTGTGGATGTTTTTATATCGTTGACCTGGTTGCAGGAGCTGCTGTACCGAACGCTCCGACGGTGCTAGGGTAAGCCCAATTCGTTTCATTACAACATTACAGTGAATTTTTGGAATAAGTAGCAACTTTTAAAATGTAATTATGGTCGATCTTGGCTGGTTTTTATTTTATGATCGAGAACACACATTAGCCACAAAAAACGTACTTAAAGAAAAATGATTTCCTTAAATATGTTTCAAGGTTATTGAAAAGTAACTAATCAATAATTTATTTTAGTGCAAGCTGACTCCGTCTGAATTTTTCGCGTAAGTAATTTCTATATATTAAGACTTAGTATTGTATCTACATGTAAATTCGTCAAGAGTTGTAATGAATGTTTTGTTTCAGGCAATTACGGAAAGGTTTGAAGTGTCATTCTCCCACAAAGATGAAAAAGGTAAGCTAACTAAATACTATGGACACACTTGATTTGTTTAACATGCTTCGCCACTACGATTATGAACCACTGCAGTCAATTTGATACCTAATTACCTAATATTAAATCAAATATACATAGTCATGTTTAAAGTCGGTTAATAAAAATGCAAAGCCGGGATGAAATACAGTATAAACAAATATCTACATTAGACTTAATGAACCGGTGCGAATGTGCGATGCATTTACTGTCAGTTAGAGTGTGTAACCCATTCCTTCATTAAAATCGGTGTATCGTTCTTTAGTCGACGCTAACGACATAATCCCGATTATCCCGAAGTGTTGGTCTATGTTTATCCCGTGTTGTGACGAAACGAGCGGACGTCGCCGTCGGAAACCGCTAGCCATGCGATCTTTTTAACTAATGAACTACCTGCACTGCGTACAGGGTGATTCTTTTACGAAAATAATATTAATTAGAATTTTTGGTTACATATGTACTCGAAAAGAGTAACCATTGAGTTTCTTGCTCGTTCTTCTCCATAGGAATCTACACTTTGGAACGAGCAAATAGCTTCACTAGAGGACAGACGGACAGACTGACACATATAAAGTTAAACCTTATGATATCTTTTTTGCTTGACGTTCAAAAGTGCCTTTTTTGGTCTATTTGAAATAAAGAATTTGATTTGATTTGATTTGAATTGTGATAAACCACTCGAGTAGTGACAATGTTTATAGTTTGCTAATGAAAAATTTATTATAAATTTTTCACTTCGTTTGTGAAGAACCTCGTCCTGTTCTGTAGAAAATCATGGCAGGTCGTTGTCATTCTATTTATTGCCTATAAAGTAACTTGCTATTTTTTTCTCGATTGTGTTCACAGGGAGATACGTTTTGCTGAAAACTATTTGACTTATGATAAGTATGGGTATTATAGTAAAGGCTTTTAGGGATTTTTTTATGTGATTGCAATTACCTTCTTTTTTTGAAGTAGCAGAATATTGGCAAATCAAATAATAACACGCTGTCCCGCTAACGGGTGCAGCTATGAGAATAAAGAACAAAGTGGGCCACCGCCACCGTCCCTTCAAAAATGACTATTTACGACGTTCTAAATATAGTCGCGTGCACCGTCGCCGGCGCATCCATTCTCGTGCAGACCGCTGCGTACGCGCACGTTGTAGTTTGTTGTATATTGTTTGTCAATAAAGTTGTTGTGCAGTGTAACATGATGTTCAATGGACTCTTGGTGTGCGGGGACTCGGACGCTAGTGATGTTACCAAAGTAAGTGTGCTTTCTAGTGTTGTGCTGTCCAGTTTACACTCTTGCAATGGACTTGGTTGGCAGGTTTTGTTTTTTTTATGTTTAGTGGTCATCGGATAATATTTTGTATGTTGGCCGTAAAACTATACGAATTGTACGAATGCGCTCTATCGTAAGAATACATGTTAAACGTCGAATAGTATGTCTCTACCAGTTGCGAGTTCCCGCAATTATTTTGTTAATGGTGATGTTATTTCGTTTGGTTGTACCATTGGTCTGGTGCTAAGAGATTTTTTATGAAGATCTAAGCACCTTTGTGTATCATGTATGTAAGTAGAAGAAAAGATCAGGTTCTTAATTGACTTCAGCGTCTTAATTGATATGCTTTAATTTAATAACATCACTGTCGTCATTAATGCAACCAAATAACATATCATATAATTATAATTATAAAGTTATATTGTAAAGAGGTAAAATTTGTATGTAGGAGGATAATCTTTGAAACAGTTGTTGAGATTTCCAAAATTATTTCACTGATTAATAGCTACAATGTTCCTAAGTGCTTAAGTTATACTTATAATAATTTGTATTGACATATTAGCTGCATTTTATCAACATACCATGCGGGTGATGTTGAAGCCAGTAATAAAAATTTTTGAATATCTACATTACTTGTTTGTGTTCAACGTGTTTACTCGACAAAATTTAACAACCCCGGCCCATATAATCAGGAATCAATACTTTATTTTCCAATCACTGGTGTTTCGGTTGGCGATCATGATGTATCATATGTAAATTATGTAATAACATAATACCTATATCTAGTGAATCGTATATCTTAATTATACTTTAACCTTCATCTAACGCCCAAGTAAGTACGTGACAGCATTTGTAGACAAGTATTAGAATAATAACAAAACAGACATTTCAGAATGTTACAATTTAGAAGATAGTTCAAATACCTTGCATAGTTTACGTTTACGACGACTTTATTTATGAGGGCACACATTCGGAACTACTAAATAAAACACGATCGGCGCCATTCACCCGTCTCAACAGTCTCTAGTCTCGAGCATACGTTACTCGAGTTTGTAAACCCATTTGAGAAGCTCTTACGACCACCTTTGATCAATTTTATCGCGACCTCAATTACGAATATTTGGCTTTTAACTATCATACCCTTTGCGGTGGTTAACGATTTCCTGCATGTCTATGTATAGGTGTTGTTGGAGAATTGAGATATATTGGGCGTCTTTATCGCTGATGAGATGATATTCGTTTGATGGCGAGTTTACGTATAAACAGAGTTTGATTGCTAGCGCTGTCTAATTAAGTTGTTAACTTTTTAATGATGCCAGTTGCATATTTTTGTTCTTAGATATGTGCGAGTTTAAAAAAGTTTAGTTTAAGGTCCGGAAGACCTTAAGTCTTACTTAGGAAAGGTACAAGAGATTAGGACATGAATGTTTGTCTGCTTATGACAATCTGTTGTAGGTACTATATATTTACTAATATTGTAATAATGAAGAAGAGAGTTTGTTTGAACACCGCACTCTCCGTGTTCACTAGTTCGGATTGAACAAATTATTATGTTGGATAGTCCAACATCGCGCTACGACGATTAGGAGCTGAGCAGCGGAAATCGCGCCGGAGTAGCCAGTTATTAAGGACTCTTATCTATCTTAGACAATTTTTTATGGTATAGTTCGGCACACGAGCAGATGGATAGCTGATGGTTAGCAATCAACGCCGCCTATGGACACCCGCAACAACAGAGGAGTTACGAGTGCGTTGCGTAGGCCTTTTGGAGTCTCGGATAAATAAGGATTGGGAAGTGATGGGGAGAGGCGAAGGGATTGGGCCTTTGATAACCTCACTCATAGGGCGAAACACAACGCTTTAGTTGTTTTCTGCCGGTTTTCTGTGAGGTCCTGGCATCACTCCATAGAGCCGACGCATTCATGCCGAGGCTTGGCTCACCCACACTTGGTTGATTATCATGAAGTAAAAACTGTAGATGAATAAAGTTCTGATCGAGAATTCTTTACGATAGTAATAGGTATCTGCTGATGCAATGTACCGAAACATTCTTCATGTTTGTATTAGTACTTCACGAGTTAATTTTACACATTACAGTTCACGCCAGCATTGAACGAATGTGAGTGAAGGTAAATAAATAAATACTTGAACATATGGTACTTATCATGTTGGGATACATTGCATCTTGAGGTGTTGTGTACATACCTTTGTGATATAACGGAGGGAAACATTTAAAAGGCGCTTATGGGGAATAACTAGGGTCTTTGAAATTTTTGGTTTTTTTTTGTAGTAGGTAGTGTGAGGGCTATGCTTCGGCACGAATTGGTCGGCTTTAAACAACCACAGCGTTGTGTATCGCAGTGTTAGTGTGGTTACCGGAGGCCCAAACCTTCCCCTTCCCCGACACCTAAATCTCCAAACGCGCGTAACTCTTCAGGTTTTGCAAGTGTTTGTCTATGGGTTAAGCTGATTGCTTACCACCAGGCCACCAGGTAATAAATACGTCTTCTTGTTTGATGTCATATGACATAAAAAAATCAACCGTGAGTTAAAAAAATAGTTAAAAGAACAGATGTTAAACAATTACTTGATGATCCAACAGGACAGTGGCGCCACCTGCAGCCTAGTTGACAGTTCAACCGCAACTTGCGACGCGTCATTCTATCACAATAAGCTACTGGCTACCCTACAGATAGTAAGTATTTGAATATTACACTCAATGTATAGCTCATTGGATGTTTTTTTGTTTTCTTACATAAAGTGTAACAACAACAGTTGCAGAATAAGGAGGAGACGATAGGAGTGCAGGCGGAGAGTTTAGCAGTTGCTGAGGAGCGTATAGCAACGCTTACGGAGCGAGCTAACGAACTCAAGAGAGAGCTTGACAGGAAAACTAAGGAGGTATGGCCCATTATGTCTTAATATGCAAATGTCTCCCCCTCAGGTAGTTAATATGTTGAAATATCTAGTAAAAAGATGAATCATAAGTTTGTGTTACTTTTCTCTAATTAGATAGGAAATTTCGAGCTTCAAACAAAACGTGCAAAAGTTCTTTAACATTATTAGTTTTTTTAACATTTGTTATATCTCTGTAAAACTTTTAATTGGCAAATGAAAAGACTTTTCAAAAGAGAAATAAAATAACGATAATGATTTGTTTCAAGTATCAGACACTACGTAAAATTGGAGACTGCTGCAAGGTTGCTCAGAATGACGCGTGTGTCCTCACAGACAAACCGGTGAGTAAACTTCGAGCTATATATATGTAATTAATATAAATGGCTGTTAATAAAGTTTGTTATTGAGTGTTTTTAAACAATCATTAAACTAATTTTAAAGTAACCGGAATTGTAAAACGATAAAGTAAATGTGTTTCGCGTTCATGTTTTCCTATATTAAAACTGCCAAATTTCTCATTGGATTGTGGGTGTCATGGTGTGCTTGGAATCATTATAGATGGAAGATCAGAGAGCTATAGTGACCACTTTGGAGAACAACTTGAGTGTTATAGAGGAACTTTACAGAGAATGCTTTTATGAGGTAAGTCCTTTTATCTATGATCATTGATTAAGTTCCAAAAAAGGTATTTTCTATATTTATATTTGTATTGTTAATTTACAGACTGCAAAACAGGAAAATCTAATAGAAATGCTCCGCGGTTCTTACTTAGATGTGCGACTTATTGAAAAACAGAAAACGGATCAAATTGGGCACCTGCAGACAGTGATCGATAAACAAAAATGTTCAATAGATAGATACAAAGTACGTAGTGGTTGTATTTTTTATTTGGCATCAGATTTCATGTAAATACATGGTCATACATAATTTTCGTACTTTTCTAGATGGCGCTAGTGAAGCGTAAAGTCCTATTAGTTCCATTACTGTAGCCATCAATTGATAGTCCAATTGACTTGGTATTATTAAACAAATAGTACGTTCGATAAGAAATTGTTCCCAACGGGCTTATTATGGATTTTGGTATTGCAGGATATAGCATCGGAAGTGGACGGTCTGAAGTCGGAGATATCGAACTTTTTGAACACTACCACCTCGACTTCGACAAACCAGGACTCGGTAGATATCTACTAACTATGTTTATTAGAAGAACAATACCTACTAACAAGATAAACAATTCTGAAGCTTTATGAAATAACCTCTTTTTATTGTTCTGTTGTTTGGTAAATAAATAACGTCTGAAAGTTGTTGTTCTGTTTGATTGGTGTCAGGGTATGTGGGAGCGTAGTGAGGACTCGCTGACGTCAGTGCCGGCCGTGCAGGACGACCTACAGGAGGTCACGGAACAACTCCTGCGTCTGCAGGACTTACTCGCTGTAGGTGACGCGTAACTAACTGGCCTTACTAGTGACCAGCAGGTCTACCTGCTCTTTTCTAACAAACTTCTTTGATGGATGTTTGTAGATTTTCAAAACAACTATGTATACTGTTTTGGTGTAAAGTATTTTTTTTCATGTTCGAGCAGTTTGACCTGCTGGTTGAATGTGCAACTGATTGTTATCACATTTAATGAAAATAACGACTTGTCTTAGCGACTTATAAACGTGAATTAAAAAAAATGTGCGAAAAGAAAAAGCTCTACCCGTTATTCTTGAGCAGCGCGCGCGTCACTGCGACGTTGCATAGCGAACTGTGTTTGTTATTCATTATTATTTGGGTACTTTTTTTGATAATTTATTGATAATACATTCATGTATTTATTTGCTTTGATTTTTTTGTTCTTTTTTTAGCTTGGTTGCACTTGTGGTTTAATGGAGGAAAATATGAAGCTAAAGATTGAAGCTGAGGCACTACGAGTGAGTATCAGTGATACTGTCGAATTGATGTGAATTAATTAACACTTGCATAGTTTTATTTCGCCAAGTGTGTTGTTATTTCTTCTTCTTCTAAATCGTTCCACTCTGGACATAGTATATATGATTTATTAATTTAATTACACTTTATATATGAAGCAATCGACGAGATTAGTCCCTGTAGTTTTTCCTCAGCCGGTTACTTTTATAATACACTAAAGGACAGCACTTTAGCTGCTTTAAGTTATTTGATCTATCTTCTTGGTGGTCGACCATGTAATCGGAAAACTTAAACTCTTATTAACATTTGTATTCTTTCTTCTTAAGATAAAAATGGGTGAACTACAACAAAAGCTTTCCGACTTGGAGGGAGTTCTCGCACTCAAACATGATACAGACCTGCAGTACCAAGCAGAAATAGAGAAGAAACATCAAGAAGTAAGTATATGTCCCTATCTTGACACTTTATGGTTGCTTTTAGGAAAGCTAGTTAGTAATGTGCGCATCATGACAATGTTTTAATGTATTTTTCCAGTTGGCACAAATCCGGGAGCAACTGGTACGTTCGCAAGAAGACACGTGTGATGCAATGACAATGCAGCTGCAACGAACTAAAGGTATTGTTATTGAGCAATATCAGCCTATCGAATAGTACTAAAAACATGTCTATATCAAAATCAATTTATCCTTTAAATTTGTGTAGCGTTGTTGGACGAGAAGATAGAATTGATAAGTCAATTGAAACAAGAGAACGAGGCTCAAGCTGAGAAGATTCAACAACTTCAGGAAGAATTGGATAAGGCAGACGGTATTATAAAAGAGGTAGGTTTATATTATAATTGTAATATAATCAAAAAGGTTTTTTTAATTTGAATTTGGGGTAAGGATTGTAGGTTTTAAGTAGGTAAATAAAATAATGGTTATGTGACTGACCTGGGACAGAGTCCGGTGGTGTGGTTGTACTGTGAGGGTTTTTTGTTAGTTGAGAGGGAGTTTTAGACTCTGATGCCCCGAAAACGTGAGTGGTAAGAAATGGAATTTTTGAAAAACAAAGAAACCAATAATTTTTATGATTTGTAATGAAAAAACCAAACAGCTTCCCTGAAGTGATTAAGAACATTATTTCTCCTTCCTAACCGTTAAAACTATAAAAATGAACGGTGGTGTGTGCCCAGAACTGCAAGATGCGCAGCGAGGTGACGTACCTGTCGGCGCAGGTGGAGCTGTGGCGCGCCCAGCTGCAGGACTCGCAGCGCCGCGTCGCCGCGCTCGACCAGGACCTCGCGCGTACTCGCGCGCATACGCAGGAGATCGACGCCTGCTACAGGTACTATATCAGTGGCTAATACATGTCTATGAACTTCACTTACGTTGCTGAAGGATACTGAATGTGGTCTATCCCCTGATACTAATATTATAAAATTTGTAAGTTTGTATGTAGGAGGTATTCTTTGAAACCGCTGGTCAGATTGCCAAAATTCGTTCACTAATCGATAGCTAAAATGTTCCCGAGTGCTATAAAACATCACGCTACGATCAAATGGAGCCGAGCAGCGGGTGAAACTGCGTGAAAGTAGCTATAATAATAATAATAATAAACGACTTTAACTTTACGCCAAATCTGAAAAAGATATGAAAAATCTAATAGATATTACAGCAGCTTTCAGTAAAGACATCAATATGCAATTCGGCCTAGACAAATGCAAGACTCTACACATTGTAAGGGGCAAAATACGACCTGGTGACTATGCAGTGAATGGTAGCCATATTATTACTGCATTGGAACAAACCGACTTGTATAAATATTTAGGCTATTCGCAATTAAAAGGCTTGGATCACATTCAAATTAAAAATACACTCACCGCTGAATTCAAACGACGATTAAACGCTATTTGTAAGTCCCAGCTCTCAGGCAAACATCTGATTAAAGCCATCAACACCTACGCTATTCCGGTATTAACCTACTCATTCGGTATAATAAAATGGACAAAAACGGATACTGAACAACTAGAACGCACAACACGCACTACCCTGACCAAACATAACAACTTACACCCCAAATTGGCAGTAGAGAGGCTCACAATTAAAAGGCAAAACGGAGGAAGAGGCCTAATAGACATCCGTCATCTTTGGCAAAAACAAATTTGCATTTTAAAATCTTTTTTCTACATGAAATCTCAAACGAGCAACATCCATGAAGCCATAGTTGCTAACGATCACAATTACACGCCACTTAACCTAAACGAACCGATAGGTATAGAAAACGTTAGCGAAACTGAGCCACAAAAAGAGAAAATAGAAGCCTGGAAAAGAAAAGTCCTCCATAGCCGACACCCACATGACTTAGAGCAAGCTCACGTGAACACCAATGCTTGAAATCAAAATATAATATGAAATCAAAATAAAAACTAACAAGAAATGACAATGACAGCAAACATCATCAGGAAAAAAATCAAATTAATAAAATTCAAGAAAGTTATGTAAAAGCTAAAACCAGAATGTTGACAAGGGCAAAAGCAAGAGCACGAGCCGCACCCCCACCATCCCCGGACTCGTCGCTCAGCTCCGCCTCGCCATCGCCGGAAACCAGAACGACACGATCGCCGGTGATAGCAGTTGCGTCGAGCTCGAGCGACGAATATTTCTCCCCGCTGGCGTCGCCGGCACCTGTACGTCGGCAGAGGAGAGGCCGGCCACCGATGGGCTTGGGAACCAGGGGCCAACGGGCTCCGGGACGGGTCCCCGCTACCGGTGGTTGTGCGCGGCGCATGAAATGGTCTCAATCCATGAATGAGAACGTCATGCGCGCGTATTATGGTGCTACAGAGGGAGGAACTAACTTCACTGCGTACCGTGACAGGATGTTGTCTCTGTTTCAGGTGCTTGAGCCATCTGTCAACGTCTCCGCCCAGCGACTATCGGATCAGGTGCGTGTCATTCAACGCAGCCGCAGATTGGACGATGCTGCACTTGATCGGCTGCGCTTAGAAACACTACACAACCGGGTCGTCCTCACTTCTTCCCAGTCGGCGACACAAACACCTCCTGTGGAAAATGCCACACTCGCCACTCCTGTCGCTGACGTGGAGGACGATAAGGTTGAACAAGTGAGTACTCAGTGCAATGAGAGATTGAGGAACGCTTTGGAGGATGCGATACATGAGTATAGATTTGCTCCTAGTGAACTAAGACCCAAATTACCACGTTTGCCCATGTGTGGAAAAAATAGGGCGCTGGTGTGTGCCTTGGATTCCCTACTCGAAAATTATTTTGAAAGTAGCGAAAATCTCTATGATACACACTCGATCCTGTATTGTGGGGCGATAGCAGCTTGTTGAGTAGCTAACGTCAGATTCCCAAAACTTTAAGCAGCAGTCCGACCGAAACCAGCTGCTCCTGCCTGGCAGTGCAGGATTGAGCGTCGTATCGATGAGGCCAGGGTACTCATCGGCAAACTAACCTGCTTCAGGGAGGGGAATAACCGTCCTAGAGTGATGCGCTTTGTAAGGCGTGCATTTGTGGGGACTGAAACTAGTCTTCATGAATACCTTACACGTGTTACAGAGCGCATCGACTTCCTGAAGCAGAAAATCTATGCATGGGCAAACCGTATTAGAAGATTTAAAAAAAGGGTAGAGCGCTATACTCAGAATCGTATGTTCCAAAGCGATCAGAGGTGGGTGTACAGAGACTGGGAACGGTCCAGCCAAGATGTGGTTAACGGACAGCGTCCGGACGATGAAACTACCAACTCGTTTTGGCGCAACATCTGGTCGGTGCCTGTTAACCACACGGAGGCTGACTGGATGTGCGATGTTAAGCGGGAGTGTGAAACTTTACCAGAGATGGAGAAGGTAGTCATTACCTCCTCTGATGTAGCCAATGCAGCCTGTTCGGTCCCCAATTGGAAATCACCGGGGCCGGACGGACTGCATAACTTTTAGCTGAAATCGTTCACCAGTTCACACGATCGCTTAGCGTCGCAGTTTCAGATGGCCTTAGAAGCTGGATCGTTGCCTCAGTTTCTGACTACAGGAATTACCCACCTGCTCCATAAGTCAGGTAGTTACACTGAACCCAAAAATTATAGACCGATTACGTGTTTACCAACGGTCTATAAACTTTTTACATCCATTTTGAGAGCAAAAATAACAAAACATATAGAAAAAAATTCCATCATGTCTGTCTCTCAGAATGGATGTAGAAAGGGGTCACGTGGAACTAAGGAGCTACTCCTCATTGGTATGGTCATTAGCCAGCAGGTTCGTCGATCTCGAAAGGATTTGTCTACATGCTGGATAGATTATAAAAAGGCTTATGACTCCGTACCACATGGCTTATGAGGGTGCTGGAGTTGTATAAAATTAATACAACTCTGCGCACCTTCTTACAGTCATGTATGAGGCAGTGGAGCACGGTGCTTTCCTACCCAGGATGTAAGCAAATCCAAAGGAGTGAAGAACCTGTAAGAATAGTGCGAGGAATATTCCAGGGTGATAGTCTGAGCCCACTGTGGTTCTGCTTGGCCTTGAATCCTCTCAGTACTTTACTTGAGGCTTCAGGGTTGGGCTATCGTTTGCGGAGAAAAGGTCACGTTATTTCCCACTTACTTTACATGGATGACCTCAAGTTGTTTGCACCAAACAAGGAGGAGCTGATGGAACTACTAAAAATAAAAAAAAAATTTTAGTAGTTCCATCAGAATGGAGTTTGGTGTTGATAAGTGTGCGGTCATGCATGTAAAGCGAGGCGGTATAGTGGAATCTGAAAGCCTAGAGCTGTCAGATTTCACAAAACTGAGATCACTCTCCGCAAATGATACCTACAAGTATTTGGGTATGTCGGAAGGATTGGGTATTAATGGGCCGCACATGAAACAATCCTTACAGGAGCGCTTCTTTGGCCGCCTGAATAAGGTACTGAAAAGTTCGTTATCAGGCGGCAACAAAATGCGAGCCTTTAACGGTTGGGTCATGCCGGTCCTGATGTATTCTTTTGGCATACTCAAATGGACTCAGACTGAACTTGACACCCTGGATAGACGAGTCCGGACGCTGCTGACTGCAAATCGAATGCATCACCCTCGTTCATCAGTCATGAGGTTGTACATCCCGCGGAAGCGTGGGGGTCGAGGCTTTCTAAACGCTAAGACCCTTCACAACCGTGAGGTGTGCAATCTCAGAGAACATTTCCTGAAAGTGGACGAGGATATGCATCGAGAAGTAATCACAGTGGACAAGGGATTCACACCACTATCCTTGGCTAAAGAGAACTGGTGCAAACCGTAGTACTGAGCGTCAATGACCGCAAGGCGGTATGGAATAGCAAGGAGCTTCACGGACGCTTTTTCCGGGCTCTCCACGGGCCCGATGTAGAATTTCTAGCGTCCGTAGCTTGGCTACGATTCAGTAACCTCTTCGGAGAAACTGAAGGATTTGTATGTGCAATTATGGACGAAGTTATCCTCACGAATAACTACCGGAAATATATTATGAAGGATGGGACGGTTGACATACGTCGGGCATGTCATAACCCCGGTGAATCCATCAGACATATTATTTCCGGCTGTGGTCGTTTGGCTAATGGCGAATACTTGCACAGACATAATCAGGTGGCCAAGATTATTCATCAGCAACTTGCTTTGAAATACCGGCTTGTTGAGTCTGAGGTTCCGTACTACAAGTATGTGCCCGACCCAGTTCTCGAAAAAGACCATATCACATTGTACTGGGATCGGTCTATCATCACAGACAGGACTATTGTAGCCAATAAGCCTGACATAGTGGTGGTAGACCGACTAGCGCGTCGCACGACGGTAATCGATGTTGCCATTCCTCATTACGAGAACCTCGTGAAAGCTGAGAAAGATAAACAATTGAAATATCTTGACTTAGATCACGAGGTTGTTGACATGTGGAGTGTGGACTCGGCTATCGTTGTGCCGATAGTTGTGTCGGCAAATGGGTTAGTCCCCAAAAGCCTCGACAACCACCTTAAGAGGCTGACGCTAGGCGGATGGATCAAGGGCCTCATACAGAAGGCAGTCCTCCTTGAAACGGCACGTATTGTGAGGAGGTTCCTGTCTCTGGAGCCCTAACTGCCAGTGGCTTGGACCTTGCTCCCGCTGCCGGCTGGCTCCTACTTTTATATTTTTAAATATTATTTTATTTTATTTTATAGCATATTTAAAAATGTAATTTTAGAGTAATTTTAATAAATATATGGAATAATAATATATCTTTATTTGCTAGAATGTAGGTACATAAGAATAAGATGGTACAATATGTTATGACAGAGCCTTGTACATTCGGCCCAGTTGGCATGCAAATATAAAGCTTACAATTAGGTTATTAAGAATTTTATAATTAGGTTATTAAGTATATAGTCTATCATTAAGAAAATCCTGCACAGAGTAATAACATTTATCTACAAGTAATTCTGTAAAACATTTTTTAAATTTTAGTATAGGTAAGTTTTTAAGTTGGTCAGGAATTTTATTGTAAACAATAGGAGCCATACAGATCACACTTTTTTTTAGTAGGCTAGTTTTAAATACACCAGTGGATAAGAGGTTCTGATATTGTGATCTTAAGGCCACAACATTGTACTACGCTGTCTGTTGGCAGTTACTGGTACAAATAAGCATCGGTTAGTTATTACAAATACTGCTAGTTCTAGTATATAGAGACATGGAAAAGTTAATAATTAATGAGACTTGAATATAGGTACGCAGCTGTCAGTTACTCTGAGGCCAAACATTGCTCTCAAGCACCGTTTCTGGGCTTTAAAAATGCTTTCCCGTTCACTACAATTCCCCCAAAATATTATCCCAAATCTTAAAATGGATACAACAAGAGCATGATAGGCTAATAACACTGTTGGCAAATTGACTTTTTTTGATAGGTTATGTAACATAAACGCGGTTGTACTTAATCGCTTACATAAGTACATCTTCTGCTTGCGGTTTCCAAGTTAGCTGGCTATCAATTAAAATTCCTAGGAATTTTGCACTTTCCACCTTCTCTATTACTTGGCCATTATAGTTGATATCCATGTCCATAATATGTGTTCTTTGGTGAAAATGCATAGTTTTAGTTTTAGCTAGATTAATTACTAGGTTATTATTGTCAAGCCACTTTATTAAATTACTAATAGAATTATTGATATCTGTAACATACAAGTCTTTGTTGGTACATGAAACAATCGAGGTGCTATCGTCTGCAAATAAGACCATAGGGTTAGATACATTACGTGGTAGGTCATTAATATATAGTAAGAATAGTAAGGGTCCGAGGACGCTACCTTGCGGAACACTATATTTTATTTCTCTGAAAGACGATAAAGATTTAAGTTCTCTTCTGGATTTTAGACACACGCTAGATCATCTCCGCACATTGTTTCCGACCTTTAAGGTATGTTCTTATTAGATTAAGGACATTGCCACGAATACCATACGCATCAAGTTTTGTTAGAAGTATATCGTGGTCGACACAGTCAAAAGCTTTCGACATATCAGCATATATTGCCCATACTGGTATTTTAGAGTCAACTTTCGGCATTACTTCATAGAGGAAATCAAAGACGGCCATGTTAATATTTTTATTTTTCCGAAAACCCTTTTGCTCGCTACATACTATATGATGTTTTGTTACAAAGTTGTAGAGCGATTCATATACAATTTTTTCTATTAAGCTAGTAAGGTTATATGTGTTAATACAAAGATGCACCATACAAACTTGTTAAAACGCTACTCTAACCTGTCCAAGTAGTTTGGTTGACCTACAAGTGTATAGTTTTGTAATGAAGTGCGAATGTATGTGGTGGCGCAGGGAGAAGGTGGGTGCGGTGTCGGAGTTACAGACGCAGCTGGAGCAGGCGTACGCGCGCGGCGCCGCGCTCTGCGGGGAGTCGCGCCGCGCCGTCGTCGCCGTGCGGGCCTGGATGCGACGCATGCGGGACAAGAACAGGTACTTACAGGTTCTTACACATAGCTATATACATACCTATTTATATTTGACATATTTATACTTGTGTCGTTGTTTCTTTACAGAATAAGCTTGCTTGATTCCCCCATTATAGGTTATTTTAATTATGCTTACTACGGGTTTAATCTGGAAAGAAAATAACTGGGATTTTACATAGGGAATACTATTTATTGCAGAGAACAAGAAGCATTACTCAAGGAAAGAGACGCTCTCTTAGAGATGCTACATCGTCGCCTGGAGCAGACACAGGGCGGTGCCCAGTATATCTGCAGCACCTGCGAGAGACTGGCACCCTGCTCCAAGTGCTTGTCCAGCAGAGGTGAGGCCAGCTTTACCTCCAAGCTGAGCCCGAGGAGGGAATCGTGCCGCAATACTAGCTCCAGTGAAGAGCCAAGCTGTTCGACCACTCCAACGTTGCGGGTTTTGAGGAACAAAGCGGCCGCTACCAAGGTGTGATTCCATTTTGAACATATTTTACCCCTAACTTTGAATTAATGGTGTAAACTATCAGGCACTAAACAATAATAAATAACGTTTATATGCAGCGCTGCAAGGCGTGGATGTGTGAAGCGGGCATGCAGTTGCCCGAGCGGCGCGAGTCGGGCAATGACCCCGCGCCCCCGCGCCCCTCGTGCTGCGGCCTGCGCCCCCCGCGCCACGTGCGCCTCAGCCGCGCCAGCGTACAGCTGCAGCCCGGCGCGGGCCCCTCCACCTGCCGCGCGCCCCCCTCTACCTGCCGCGCGCCCCCCTCGACCTGCCGCGCGCCCATACAGCTGCAGGCCGTCGGCCCCAGCGCGAGCTGTACGCACGAGCTTGAGCCATGCGCGGGGCCCAGTTCGTACGCGGCGTGCAGGCCGGGGCGGGCGGCGCGCAGCCCCGGGCGGGGGCCGCTGCAGCTGCAGGGCGGCGGGGGCGCGCAGTGCGCGGCCGTGTCGCCGACGGAACAGCTGCTGCAGCGCGTGGAGCAGCTGTCGGCGGCGCTGGCGGACGGCAGCCGCCGCTGGGCGCGCGCCCGGCCCTCCCACTGACACCGACATCTTGCTACATCCGACCTCAGGCTCGCCACCATACGCGACCAACTTTTCTAAGTCATTCATTTTATTGCTGCCTACTTTACGGGTAGTGAGTGCTAGGTATCATGTTTGAAGGATCTTACCTCAGTTAGGTAATTATTAATAATCGTTTTAGGACAAGAGATATATCTATTTCGATTTCTTATTGTCACTGCTGAACAATCGATAAAGATTAAACGGTTCGATAAAACTTGTCAACTTTGCAAAAACCGGCCAGTTTAGTCCCGGAATTCATGTCATATGGCATTGTTTCCTATTAGAACTATCGTTTAGGTTGCAGCAGCACGTGGTCCTGTCCGGCCAGTCAATGTCAAAAATTAAATATCCGAATGTACTTTAAGTGCATATTCTCCATTAAGCAACAACAGAATTTTACACTAAGCATATACAGAACATTTTAGACAACAATTTGCATCCAGTTTCAATATGAAAAATAATATTGTCTACGGCAATCACGTGATAGGGTTGCTAACTTTGAGTGGTGTTGCCATAAAGGCATTTAGTAATTTTATTTGAAAGACTTTTAGTGCATTTATTATAGTTATAACAGTATTATTTACTAGTCGTATTTATAGTTTATTGTATTTAATATTATTAATTACATTTGTTTTGTTTACTTGACTTTTTATTTGTTATCCATCTTGTTTTTCCTAAAGATCAGTATGTAATTGGTATACTCATACTAAAGAGCAGTATACTCATTCTGGCCGCAGATAACCAGTAGTAATTACCCAGATTGTGCTGTACAAACCAAGTAACGATACTGTAGGCTCGATTTTCTCCCCATACCCAAGGGGTCAGAAAAATACTTGTTAATCTTTTGGTATTGTAGTCGTCGTTTTGTATATACATTCAGTCAACAAAGTATCGGGAATGAATGTTTTTTTTATGGTTCCAAATTCGAATTTTAATTTTTTTTGTTGTTAGATTGGCATAACTGTTTTCCATTTTGGCGCGGAATTTGAGTTACATGTGTTATTTATATTAAAAACAGTGCTGTTTTTAGTTTTATAATATCTAGTGTGTATTGCGAATTTCATAATGGACAAAAACATCGAACAAAGAGTTTGTCTTAAATTTTGCATCGCCAATGAAATTTCGTGTTCGGAGGCACTCAAAATGTTACAGAAGGCTTACGGTGAATCGACTTTATCAAAAACACGTGCTTATGAGTGGTACAAAGCGTTCAAAAGCGGTCGAGATGTGATGGAAGATTTGACTCGTTCTGGTAGGCCATCAACTTCTGCAACTGAAGTTAACATCGCAAAAGTGAAGGAAATAGTGACTGAAAATCCTCATTCAAGTTTGAGAGAGATGGCCGCCGAACTTTCTGTGTCTCACGAGTCGATCCGTACCATTTTAACAAATAATTTGGGTATGAAACGTGTTGCCGCTCGGCTAGTCCCAAAAGACCTGAATTTTCTTCAAAAACTAAATCGCATGAAAGTCGCTGAGGACATGCTAGAACGAGTCAATAACGACCCAACATTCATGAAACGCATTGTGGGGGGGAAATCATCAAATTACTTCTCCCACCCAGGATGGGACGAGAGGGATGTCAGACTCCGACTAAAAACCTCCCGTTCCTTCTCCTGCTATAGGTCGTGGTCGCGCTGTCTCATTGCGCTTACTCCGCAACCCCGGCTGAAGCCTATAGGGCCCCGTCTGTGGTGGTCTATTGGCTCTTTGAGGCACGCGCGGAACGCTACGCGCCGTACGCTCGGGTACCCCCTGTATTAGCTTAGCTTACCTGTTTACCCTTGTGGCGACTTATCCACATAAAGTGGACGTCGAGTTGATAAGGTTTTATTTAGGTTAATAAAACACATTGTTATACAAAACTATACAGTATTTATTTATGTCTATAATGCACAAAAATATATAAAAATCAATTGTCAATTCGTTGAGATAAAGTTGACACAACCCGCATAATACTTGTTTTCACAGGGGGCAGTCAATTGTATAACATTAATTTATAGGAAACACATTATCATAATTACAAAATAAGATTATTTTCACACGGCTTTTTTATGCAGACACGCCATCTACGCAACTAAAGGCTCTAGATGAACTCGAAATTAGTCGGGCGTTCTTCTAGCCGCAAGAATATTATCTAATTTTGTAAATGTCACGATAGTTAAAATAGAAAAAATAAAATAACTATAATTTAGATACATTTCTCCTACAGTTTGTTATTATAATTTGATAAATGAATTTTTGCTTTAGTGCAATATTGTCTATGTCTGCTCTCTTTATATGGATAGTAATGGCGGAAAGGATCACAGATATAAATAATTGTTATACATCGCTTTGTTGTAAGATTACAAAGCCACATTAACGTGCACACCTAGTTATATCAGCCGTTATAAACATCTTAACTAATTAACATAGGGCGGACCGTATAAGATTTATAACAAAAATTTCAAAATTATTTTTCATTAATCGGATTGCTATGGCGCTTACAGAGAACTAATTTACTAAAAGCTTAATCCATAAGCTAGTTTTCCTGTGAGTATCGCATCACCCACTCTGACAAACTTGTGCATTTGTAAGAATTAATTTAGTACTATTGATATTTTAATATTTGATCATCAAGGCAGATAAATAAATAAAATCGTTTTGTCGAATAGCTGAAGGAATCACGTTGATATTAAGGCCTCCTTATGCTGAATTCAAATAGTTGCCACAGGGCACAGTTTAAGGTCCGCCCATCCTCAGCCTGAGTTCAAGACACATAGACGACGTTGTTGCTATCTTTGTCTAACACATGAAGAAAGCAGCTGAGTGACAGTGACAGAGATAGTTACTTAATGTCTATGTGACAGGAACTGAGTGATACAAAATATTTGACTACTTATGATACGAGTAGGTTAGACGGAATAGTTTCACTAGTTGAATATTTATTATAGTCTTATAAAACGTTACATACAAGTGAAGCAGCATTTGTAGCCGTGAACTGTTAGCATGTTCATATATTTCTTTCTATAAGGAAGGCTTACAGACTCATAACATCTGTTAGTTACTACGTAATATATTATAACATGTGCGATCTTCTATACTATTTGATTTGCTTTGGTTGGTATGTTAAAGTTTATTATTTATCTACAATGCAGTACCGTCCGCTAGAGGGCGGTAATGAGAGCTTAAGTCTCTTAGAGTTGTATTCTATTGGATTTGAATGTTGCAGTGACATCATTCAAGGGTGAACAATTAAGTGCAATAACTGTTTAAAAATTCTGTGGCACGAACAAAATAAATTACTTCCAGAAGTAATAATTTTATCCAATGATAGATTCTTAAAAACGTAATCGTTTTTACTCATAAAAGATGGAGTCATGATATACTTGTGTAAGTAATTCATTTACTATATTGGGATATAATAAGCAACTGTATCCAGCAGTACTTATCTAGAAATATTTTTCAAGCACGACCAGTCTACTGTAGGTACTAAACAATTTGATTGGTCAAATTACCAAGGGTTATTGGGACTAGCCGTTAGATACCGTTAGTGTGAAGTAGTGTGATGTAGAATAGCGTGGAACAGGTCACTTGGTGAAGACTCGCCACATGGAGGCCAGCGACGCGGCCGCAGACGTCACCAGCGACGGCGCCGGCGCAGGCGACGCGGGGCTACAGCTCAACTCCTCTATCTGCGAACACAAACACAATGACTGTTGAAGAAGCTATAAGACAATTACTGCTTAACGTAGACCTTGGCCTATTGGCCTCTTGGCAGCATGAAATGGTCGAGTGTTACCTCCATGGCCTCAGGCCAGTTCAGATGTTCCGGAGGCTCTGTGTCATCTGCGTCGAGGTCCCCGAGCGCGGCGATAGCCTCGGCCCACACGGAGCGCGCCGCCGCGTCACAACTACTCGTCCATGACTCCACTCTGTAACACGCAAATAGTTAAATACCATTGTGTACTGCTAAAGATTAACCATCTGATGATTGATATTAAGGTTTAAGGGATAATTTACCTATACATTCTAGGAAACATGAACCTAAGATTAAACCCTGTAGCACTCCATTTTTTGATCTGTCCTTTAAATTGTACACTATTTATACAATTGTATTCTAATCAAAAATACAATTAAATTTATCTTTATCTTTATCATGTTACGAAATAATTTTCAATAATAGTGACTCGTGACGTTTCAGAACATAAATTTCAGTGATTTATGTAGTGAAACGCTTTCGATAGGTCACAGAAGACTATATTTATATCATGCAATTATTAATTTGTTTTTCATTTATAGTCATGTAAGTAATACTGGAGTTGGATTCGAAATTTTCTGTTAGGCTGTTTTGACCTGTTAAAAAATTAGTCCTGACTAGTTTAATGGGGGTAGGTAGTAAGTATCCGTACCTGCCGAGCATGGGGTCGTCAGTGTTGGCGGCGACGACGAGCGAGTGCAGCGCGGACAGCGCGTGCGCGGGCGGCGCGGCGGCGGGCGCGGCCAGCGCGGCGCGCGCCGCCAGCCACGCCGCCGCCGCGCCCAGGCGACGCGCGCGCCACGCCACGCCGCTCTCCGTCACGCGCCAGTTGCTGTACTCACTGGAAATACCATGCTAATTTACATAACTTTATCATCATCATCACAAAGAAAACATATGATGAAAGCTTAAGGACTTTGTAAGGGTATTGGTAGGTAGTTCATTGAGCTGATTATGTACCGCAGCTCCAAACCGGAGCGCGATAAGAAACGGGGCGGATTATTGTTTTGTTTCACTGAGTCTGATTCTCCCTCTCGCCTCTACAAGGGTGGACAAGTTATGAGATTTTACCCCTCACAAAGTAGCTCAAAACAAAAGTTTGAATTAAGTATTTAAATACCTTTATATACGCAACAACAGTTGTCAGTTATTGGTATGCGCAAATAATAATAGATAAGAGTTCTTTATGAATATATTCTAACTCCTACGAATTATTTTAAAAGTCTTTTCATAACTTCGAAGTTAATTTGAGCTAAAAAAAGATTGTATTGTACGATAATGATATTAACTTTAATTGACATTTCTTTACACGACATAGGACATATTTTCATCATTCCATTTTTTAACATTACGTATATTTCCTGTCAATACTAAGTTTAAAATTTAATCATTAAGTACAAGTCGATGACGTCATCGCCGTCGTACTGTTCACTCTCTACTTATAAAAACTGATAACGGTACGGTTCAATTGACAAAGTAAAGATAATTAATAACTTAAATTCAATCTAAATACTGCATATAAACTATAAAAAAATATCCGAAAACAAAAATAAATACTGTTAGAAGCAAAAAAGGTGACATAGACAGAAATGCCCCCAGAGAGATTTGAACTCTCGACCCCTGGTTTACAAGACCAGTGCTCTAACCCCTGAGCTATGGAGGCTTGCATTCAGTCGGTGATATTTAGTACCTTATGCTGTGACGCGTACTTCTTATATAGAAATATGAAGGAGTTCTGAGAAAAAGGTTTTGTTGTTGTGACAATACAGTCATTGTTATTTTGCCATTCAAATTGCAATACTCCTAATATAGCTACAACTTCGTATGGATATTATTCCCTATTTATCCAAGCGATTATATTGTCTTGTTTATTTTTAATCTTGAATGGATGTCAACGACGTACTTCCGAACAAATAATGATCACTTTCGTCCATTCGTTCTCGAGTTTCGCGCTTATGGTTTGTCGGTTAAATAAAGGTACAAAATCTTAGTATATCTTTTTATATGTATTAAAGAGGTCGAATGCAATACATACAAAGATTATTTATTAGCTAATATCGATTTCTGTGAATACCTGATTGTGAACATTTTTACATGTAATCTTTAGACTAATTTTATATTATAACAAAACATGTCAAGATTCTATATACTTATTGAGTTAATTATCTAAACCGATAGAACAAGTTAATAACACATGATACGATTAATTTATGCCTTTTTATTTGATCTTCCCTATTTACTTTGTTATGTTAATTAATTACTATTATCATTTAAATTACGTAGTAATATATAATTAAACTCCTTTTCAGTTGTGTCAATAGCAAAACAGACAAATTGATTTGAAAGCAAATAATTTTATTTCGTTATTTATGGGAAAAGGAAGCAAATGGCACTTTGTAGTGCTCAACGTTGGACGAAATATCGTAAAAATTATGGATTTTTAAATCAAAAGTATAAATATGTTACAGTTTTTTTTTGTTATTGGTTTTTGGTGTTAATTTGGGTATTGATACTCGCCCTGTTCATACCCATCTAGATTTTCATATATTTTTACAGGCTGTAAGTACATTAAATTGCATTGAAGTGTGTAGTCTTGTTAACACTCAAGAACGGCTGCACCGATTTGGGTAATTTTAGTTGCACAACATTCATGGAACTCGCGCTAATAATGAAAAGTAAAAACATTATTTAATTCAAAAGGACTGAAATGTAAGATTTACATAAAAATGATCAAAAGATGTAAAAAAGAATATTGGTCACAATGCCCCCAGAGAGATTTGAACTCTCGACCCCTGGTTTACAAGACCAGTGCTCTAACCCCTGAGCTATGGAGGCTTGCATTCAGACGACGATATTTGGTAACATGTCTCGCGAGCTCACCATTGTTTTAAAATAATTGAAAATGTTGATTAAATCGTATGATAATATCAACAATAGTGTAAACATAAGAAACGTTTTTAGGGAAAATGCTTATCAGTCAATTAATTTAAGTGCCCCTACAAAATAGTACCTCAGTATAATCCATATTGATTAATAGCGATTTTGTAAATATTGTAGGTTGCTGAGAGAGCTGTCGCCGCAGTTGAGAACGGAAGTCCGGTATCTGTACAGGTATGTGCTCGTTTGCAGTTTTTAGTTTGCAGTTTTTAAGGAAGGTTATAATCGTGTGATACTTAATTCATTGTGACTTTTCTAAGACACTAGAGATTTTTTTTATTGAAATGGTACCTTTAGGTGTAATGTATAGTAAGCTAGAATACTAACTTGAGTGAGATAGTGTGTGGCAGCCTGGCGTCGAGCGCCCAGCTGAGCAGCGCCAGCAGCTGCGCGCAGAGTGCCAGCGCCGCGCAGGCTCGCGCCGCCGGGCCCGCGCCCGCACCCTCCGGCCCGCCCGCGCCGGCGCCCAACCCCGCTGACATCACCTCCTTGTTCTGCCGGACTGTATCAACTACCATGTTAGTCCATCATCATTCGCTGGAAGATGCCCTGGTCCTGAGGCTACAAGCTCTAACTTGGACAACTGGAGGATGTGCAAATCCGTCACCACTACTTCATCACTACCATTACATTACTTACAGGATGCTACTGATCTTCTGTGGCAGCTGACCGGTTTCATTCGTTTCATGTTCTACATGTAATTATCGTCATCATCATCCAAAATGATGGCAATCTGACAAGCCCTTTGTATTTTAGAGATAGAGATTTTTCCGACAACTAACAGAGTACAACTGAATTTAGTTTATTCTTTAATTACCAACTCAGTCAAAGAAAAGATCGAACCCAACATAGCTATAAATATGATCTAAGAGTGATTAGTATAAACTTACGCCAAGCCTGTACTTGTGAGAAGTCCCCGTCAGTGTGTATCCAGGGCGCCACGATGTGCAGCTGGGGCCGGTGCGGGGGCTCCTCTTCTGTATCCTCGCCTATAAACTCCATATCTTCTATGCTCTCGCTGAAATTGCAATAGAAGGAACCATTTGTAGTACCTACGCTTATAATTATGTGGAAAACTTGAGAACTAATGTTGTCGACACAGCCTAAAGGATTAGCAAACTGAAGTGAAGTGGCAGTGCAAATGTAACAATTGTCGAAGAACCGATGACCGTGGGGATAGAGCTGCTCTAGGGTGGAGACTACGTTCAGGCAAACGTAGTGTAGGGCAACCTCCAGCTAGGTGGACTGACGATATTTGCAGGGTGGGTGGCAGTGGTTGGATGAGAAGAGCTGAACTCAGTGGCGTGCAATTCGGGAGGCTAGGCAAATCCACATCTCTTCTCCGATGTTCCGATTTCAAGCCATGTGATGAATTGCGGCACAGTTCTTCTCCGCTCCGCCTCAATGGAAGTGCACCCTTATGTCCAGCAATGAACGGAATCAGGTTGAAGATGATGACTCTTGAGTAGGTAATGTTTCGCCGGGTACGCTAGGTTATCGGAGGCCCAACCCGCTCTCCATCCGCATTCCCTAAATTCTTTAATATTTTATCCCATATCAAAGCAATTTAGGTGTAGGCTAGAAGGCGGATCACTTGATATTAAAAGTCACCAGTGAAGGAAATATAGGTAGGCCTTTTGGGGATCGACCATGGGGAGGGGAGGCGGAGAATTGATGTGTACAAAGTATGATATAGAGAAAATAAACAATTTATGGTAACAATGTCAACAGACAATGTTAATTAGGAATTATACATCATTTCCATAAAACGCGACCACTGTCACAATTGGAGCATGTCACTGACAAGTAGGTAGTAGATTATTGACAGACCAGATTTAAAAGGTTTACTTACTCTATGTGACAGACGAATTTTTGACACACTATCAAATGTGGTTTTTTAAAAGATTTGAATCTCGTTGAATTGCTTAATATATGAACAGTTCAAGGTCCAGAGGGTAAGGCGCTTCTCGTATATAAACGTGCGAGTTCTGAACCTAGCAACTTTTTGTATGTGTACTCCGATACCTTAATACTTTATAAGGTTATTAAACTTAGCAGAACTTGTAAGCTGTTGATGATCTCCAAGGTACTCGAGACTCGTAATGTTATACAAGAATAAAGATTAAGTCAATGGCAAATGTTCATATGGAAAAGACTACAGGCTGCAGGGTGCAATAGGGCTGATGTTCAGCCTGGGTTGCAGTGCGGGCGCAATGAGACTTCGGGGCCTCGACCCAGAGCAGGAGAGGAAACGGGGGGATTTTTAGTCAGTACAAGTCTGACACTCCATACCGCCCCAGCCTGGGCGGTATGGACTGTCATTTGAGGATTTTCTCCTCACAAAAAATACTGCAGAGTGCCGGTAAAATCATTATAGCAACATGTAACGACATTGAAAAAGAGATAGTTACAATCGTAATGTTTCTAATGACACACAATTACATACTACTATAATTGATTCACTGATAACATTAGTCTGTGTCTTATCACAACTTGTTTTATTGCCCTACTTAGATAATATTGTATTAATTTAATACAAGCAGTGATGAAGGTAATGAAGCAACATAACATTTTCGTTCTAACCTATAAGACTATTTATAGCGATTGCGGTTTTCTAATGATTTATGATGATTATTATGATGAGTTACATAGTTTGAATGTAGGATTGTTTAATGGGATACAGCGGAAAACGAGAATTCTGATTACCTAATACCTAAGCAATCAGCGCCGTGCAAAGTAACACCATGGGACTTACAAGTGCGTTGCCAGCTTTTCGGCGATTTATTTTTTGTATCATAGGTCAGCAAAACCAGCATATGGAGTACCTGATGGTAAGCAATCAGCGTCGTCCATCGACACTTACGATATCACAGGAGTTACCACATGTGCATTGCCCACGTCTTGTCGTTTATTAGGGTTTAAGGATGGGGCCTCCGGTAACCTCACTCGCATGCCGAAACATATCGTAAGTGTTGGTTCACGCCGGTTTTCTGTGAGACCGGCAACCTCACTCAACCAAGAAAACACAATACTACAGATGTTTCATACCAGTTTTAGTTTAAGGCTGTGGTATCACTTTGGTCAAGCTGGCTTATTTGTCCTAAAGCCTGGATTTCTTACACTTAATACAAATAATATAATTGAACTATTATGAAATTAATTAGAAAATCATCATGAGAATAGTTCTCACTTACCTTGTGTCATAAGTAATATAAACTGGAAATATATATTTGGTGAGCTGCCGTATCCGAGATCTTCGTAATGCTGCCAATGCATCTGTTTGTTCAGTGTACATGCTTATTTTATTTTCCAGTTCCATTCTCTGCACCTCTGCATGCTTGCCAAGGCTAGTTACTCGTTTCTGGTACCTTGGCAACTTTATTGTCAGCTCATTGTTGTAGTTTCTAAGGTCTGTCAGTTCTCTACGTTTTTCTTCAATATTTCTGCGTCTCTGTTGTATGGCCAATCGGAGGAGTTCTAGTTTGTCCCTGGACTGCTTTGCCTCTGTCACTAATGTGTCTCTTTTAAGCTTATTTGCTAATAGTCTCTCACATTGGTCCAGAACATGTTTACGGTTCACTTTCACTCGAAGAAGCTTTCCTTGTTTTTCTGCATATCTGTAGATTTATCATTATGTTTACTAAAAGTAAGATTGCTTTATCTCAAGATATAACAATAAAATTAAAAAAGAAGTAATCAGTCATTTGGGTACAAGTTTTTGTTTGTTTACATTATTATAAAAACCTTAAAAAGTATGGTTTTGGACATTCATTCAGACTATTATTCATATCTGAGAAAAGCTGAGTCATAAAGTCGCCACTACCGCCACAATAACTGCGACAACATTAACAATTCAAGGTTATGTAAGTTTGTAAACATGGATCCTGATACATCTGATACCATAACAATGACTTATCATGTATTGGTTTCTGTGTAAACACTGCACTTTGCATTTATCTTCATCCATTCATTTCGTGCACACAATATTTCCGCATTGTTTACATATAAATTCGACGCATATGGTGACTTCAATATTATGAGACGCGCAAGTGACCATCTATTTTGAAATCAGAAATATCATTCGCAGTCAATGGAGAGATAGTCAGACTGAGATAATTATAAGAGGTTATTGATATAACTGCGTAAATAAGTGGAAGAACGTACCTATCTGCGTAAGGCATAGACGAATGTACGAAATTGCCCGCCCTGACGCAATCTGGACAATAAAAGTTCTTTTTCACTGTGTAACAAAGGAGACATTTCTTGTAGTGTCCATCACTCTCCGTTGAGGATACGCGGAAATCCCGGGGCGCCTCGCTTTCATTAAAATAACTCAGCGCCATAGCATTCACGATCTTTTCACGTATTTATTTGTAATGTAATGTTGAAACACAGTAACTTGATATCTGTCAATGTCAGCTGGCAAAATGTGCACAGATAAATAATATTGTACAACGTAACGTTCCGTTATTCAGAGTGTGAACCTGAGCGATGCTACGACTGTTTTTATGAGTGTCTTCGTGTTTTCTCATTCGCATTATAGATGTCGCTATTAGTACTGCTTCCTTTTAGTGGGTCTGTTGTTTACTTGGTTTTATTTCAGTGTTTATTAAGTAACTGTTTAATATTAACAAGTAAGTTTACACTCTCTTTAATACAGCGTAGCCGTGGCACACACTTTAGCCACCACGTATGCTAAACTAACTAATCTGGTATAGGCAATGAGCCTACGGTTCTGCTTATTTCTGAAGAGATGAGAGACTCCGCGTGCTTAAAAATTTTGTATGCAGAAAAATAAAAATAAGTGAGGGGTGGGAGAGTTATTAAGGAGTCGGCCGCGGCCTCGTAGAAGACCGGCGTTGTGTTTCGCCGTGTGAGTAAGGTTACCGGAGGCTCACGTATCTCCAAAAGGTCAGCAACGCAATCGTTACTTCTCCGTTGTTGCAAGTGTCTATGCGCGGCGGTGATTGCTTAACACCAAGTAATAGGTCAGCATATCAAATAAAAAAGGTGTTTTTTTAATGTAGTACTCTGATAGGTTTAGTTGAATAATAAACCAACTTCGAAGGGATTTATGGCGCGTTGTAAAAAAGAAATAAAACAAGATATCTAATTATTTTTTACTTTGGTAATGGATATAATTATTTTTTTGCAGTGCGATGATGGAGTACTCAGTGTTTCTACCTAACGAGCTTTACCTAGGTACCTGTTTTTTTTTATTGGCAATGTAAAGAATAATGATTTTTTCTTTTTTTTATGCTTTTTTTAAAAAACGTTGCCCCACTTTAGAATTTTCTCCTGTGTTGTCTGTGCGTTTACAAACATACAATTTCACATGCACATCACACCCAGACCCGGAACAACAATCTGTGGATCACACAAAGAGTTGTTCCGTGAGGGAATCGAAACCGCGACACGTTGCGCGGCAGCCAGTTGCCCAGCCACCGCGCCAACCGCGTAGTTTATTTTCGATTTGATTGTTTCGACCGAGTGTTAGGCTCTGAGTACATCAGGTGCTTGCCGGGCACGGCAGCTTCGGTAGGTTCCTGTTTCGGATCCAGCGGAAGGAAACGCCCAAGTGTCGTCATTGTGAGGACCACCTAGAGGATACGGTGGAGCATACGGTGGCGGTATGCCCTGCCTGGGCTGAGCACCGCCGTGTCCTCAGGGAAGCGATCGGAGGCGGCGACCTCTCGCGCCCGGCCTTAATCGAGGCCATGGTTCATAGCGAGAGGAATTGGGAAGCTATCTCCTCCTTCTGCGAAGCAGTTATGCTCGCAAAGGAGGAGGCGGAGCACGCTAGGGAACTATCCTCCTCGCGCCCCAGCCGCCGCAGAAGGCGACATTCCGGGCGTCGGGGATCGAGAGATGATCTCCGGCCACCGTACGCGCGAGTCTGCGGACGACGAGTAAGGGTAGCCCGACCAGAACCAGACCCGAGCGTACGGCGCGTAGCGTTCCGCGCGCGCCTCGTAGAGCCAATAGACCACCACAGACAGGGCCCCATAGGGCTGATGTTCAGCCGGGGTTGCGGGGTAAGCGCAATGAGGCACCGCGACCTCGGCCTAGAGCAGGAGTAGGAACAGGGGGGTTTTTAGTCAGTAAGAGTCTGACACTCCCTCCTGCCGACCCTGTGCGGGAGAAGTCATTTGATGACTTCCCCTCACAAAAAAAAGGCTCTGAGTACATATTCAACTCACTTAGGTACCTAGCTAACTGATTAGGTAATAGATTTTTAACCGACTTCAAAAAAGGAGGAGGACACCGATTACTCGAAGACGCCTGGACCGATTTGAGAAATTCTTTTTTTATTCGATAGAGTATACTTGCCATTTGGTCCCATTGTCATGAGGTCAGGATCTGATGATGGAATCCTGGAGAAACCGAGGGGATCTTTCGAAAATTGTAGGGGCGAGTAGTTTTTTTGTATGATGTTTAAGTAGGCCTTTAACAACACTACAACTTGACGAAGGTCAAGGTCGACCAGATGTTGGAGCTGGAAGACAGTCGAGGGATCTCCTTGACTATTTGGAATAGTTGCCTTGTGTTGGGGCTTGAATGATTCGTATTGGCGAGCACTTTGCAGCAGGCTTGGTTGTAACTGTCATTAAGGGTCTGACGATGAGAACGAAGGACAGCTCAGGGAACTCCTGAACGGTTTACAGTAACTTACTTCGTGTTTAAACTTAATTCATGTATATTGATGAAAACTTCGTACAAGTATGTATTATAACAACTGAAGGTCTGCAGTTCACCTGATGATGGAGACCATTGACCGTCGAGGGAATTCCGGATGGAACCGAGAGACAGTCGAGAGAACTCCTCAACGATTCATAGCAGCTTCCTTGTGTTTGAGCTTAATTAATTCATTTTGATATGAACTTTACACCTAGATGGATTGTGACTGTCATTAGGGATCTGATGATGAAGACGAAGGACAGTCTAGGGAACTCCTCAACGGTTTACAGTAGCTACTCGTGTTTGGACTTAATTTATTTATATTGTTAAGAACTTTCCCTCTCCTAGAGAGATAACCTGTGTCCCAGTAGGGGGAACATTAAAATGGCTGATGATGATGATGATGATGAGAACTGTCCCATTTCTTGGGATCCATATTTTTTAATCGAGCGGCTCCTTTCGTTGGCCTACATATAGCTACTTAAAAATATATACTATTCAATATGTAAATTTATATTTAAAATGTTACTGTAGTTTACAGAAGAACTTGTAACAGACACTAAAAAGTAAAAAATAAAAAAAACTACGTTTAAAAAAACCGACTGTAAATTTATGAATAGGTAGCACATAGAATTGATAGTGTTTTATTACTTATATTAAAAGCATTAGCTTCGCGTACGTAAGAGTGGTGTTAAAATATCAATTTTAATTACTTATTTGACACTGTTTTGTTTTTGAAGTCGGTTTTTTTAAACGTAGTTTTTTTATTACTTAAACATATTGATATGAACTAAATATTATTATTTACATGACGATATTATCTTTTGGCAGAAGTTGTCATCAATATATCCACAAGTCTTCCACAACATAATATTATTAACCCAACTACTTCAAATGATCTAGTCATCAACGGCTCTTTGTCGCCACCTTTGTCAAGTTATACGTTTACATTGTAGGGTACGAGTGGCTTCTGTTTGAAAACTAAGCCCCAACCAGCTTAGGTTCTCCGTTCTATGTGAAATTGTACACATGTAGTTAATGCCGAATCTTCGGAGAGTTGTCTCTTACGAGTATCAGAAAGCTGCAATAACTACACTATAAAGTGATATACATAAACTTTACATCCGTGAACACTGTGTTCATGTTTTAACAAAGTTTTCAGTTTTCAGCTATAGAAATATGTTGTATTTTTATATCTACGTGTATGGTAGGTATATGCGACTATATACAAGTATAAATGGCAAAAATAAAAATGTACTTGGAATGGCGTAGTCTTGTCGTCGCCGAAAGGGTCAATGCGAATCAACCAGATTGGATTACCCCGTGTTGGAGTAACGAGCTGACATTTTATTTTTATTTTGGCGGCAAAAATTTTCGACGCTGACCGCCATTACGGAGGTCGTTACATTCCCGAAACTAGGCTAAGTTAGTTAGCGATATCCCATCATGATGGATCCAATAATTGTAATGCAGAGTTACGTTGACCTCACCCCAGTATACGTGCTCTAAATTAATTCAAAAGCAATTCGATTCTATCGCTAGTATTCGGAACCCAAATAAAAAAATATTTGGCCAGTTATAATTTAGTGGAGATTATTATTTATTATTGAGATTTGTATATTGGTCCTATGGGAAAAGTGGTTGGAATTGACCACCAATATGTCGGCTCCTTCAATATGTCCCTTGTTTAACCTAACACACTGTATTCTATAATGTAATATTGGTGTGGCGGACTTAATCATACGTTGTGCTGACTTGTAAACAAAAAAGGAAGGAAATTTAAGTGTGGGAGAGCCATGCTTCGACACGAATGGGTTGGCTCGACCGGAGTTATACCACGTCCTCACAGAAAACCGGCGTGAAACAACCACAACATTGTGTTTCGCCGTGTGAGTGAGGTTACCGGAGGCCCAATCCTTCCCCTACATGTAATCCCTTCCCAATCCCTAAATCCCCTAAACCCCAATCCCTAAAAGGTCGGCAACGCACTCATAACTCCTTCTTTTTTGCGGGTGTCCATGGGGGACGCTGATTGCTTACCGTCAGGTAATCCGAACTCGTTTGCCGTCCTATCACATAAAAAAAAGGAAGAATAAAATATACTGTGTTGGAACATTTGGAACTAGTGAACCCTATTCTAATATTCTAACCGGATGACCACGGCAGTCAATATCAATTATTAAGACGGTTTCATATAATTGACCTTATATATTTGGTGTTATACATAAATATTATATTGTTCAAAAATGTTTTATTAATTTATTTGGGATTTTGGTGCTTTTACAAATAAGTATGTCGGCGCCCGTGGACACGTGGAGTTAAAAGTGCGTTGCTGGATTTTGAGGGGTTTGTTGATAAGAGGCTAGGGGCGGAGACACACGACGAAACACAAACACGACGCTATTGTTGTTTCATGGTGGTTTTCTTTGAGCACGTCCGCCGGTCGGTCGAAACATTCGTGCAGACACAAGCTCCCATATCTAGATACACTTTTTCTGACAAAGGAAGGAGTGTATTTCACATAAAGATTTGTTCCGTGCGGGAACCAAACCCGCAACACGTTATCTAACAACCTATTGCTAGCTATGGCGTAGCGCAAAACTTTGTAGTCACTCGTAGTCGTGCTACGAAAATGCTACGCCCAGCTACGAAAGTTAGTTGAAAATTGTGTTTGTTGATGTGAACGAAAGTACTTTCATTTTCGCGATGTACACACACATGTTTAAGTTTGGGATGATAGCAATTTATTGAAGCTGTTGACATTAGCAAGTTTTTCATTCTTTCGTGGCA